AAAAAAAAAAATCAGGTTTATTGTTTTTGTGCATCTCTATCCTTTTTGTACTCTACAGTTAAAAACATGTATTAACAACAACAACAAAATCCCTTCAGAGGAAAGTTAGTCTGTCTTGCTACTTTTCAAAGAGAAGATATGAACTGAGAATCTGATTTTTAAGTAAGGTTACATGTTCTTCAGTTGTGTGAATCATGTCAGTTACTATTAATAGGCTATCCAAATAGTGAATGGCACTCTGGGGATCCTAGAGTTCAGTGAGAATGAAGTGTCTGCCAGTTGTAACAAAACATCTGTCCTCATGAAACATAGTTGAATATCTTGATGCAGTGTCATTTGGCAGTAGAAAGGAGGAGAATGGAATTTTCACTCTTAGCGTTTGTCTGTAAGTGTGTTTTGTAAAGTGCTCTAGAAATGTGAGTCAGTGCTCTCCGAGATTATACCATGTGTTATGACGTTAGAATGGCAAGACCGTGGATGTTTGTCATTATAAAAGTGGTAAAAGTTTCATATATCTGAAAAGAGGACTTTTCTGCTGGAATGCTCTGATTTCATAGCCGAGGTTAGAATGACTTCATCAAACATGAGTTTAGGGAAACTAGTGGTCCAGCAGAGGCTCGGAGATATAACATTGTTAGTCACTATTATAGTAACTTATTTAGATGTTTAACAGTATGATTTAAAAGTGCCCTGGGGGAGATGCTTCTTTACACCAAGTCAGCTATGTTACTTAAAAACAAAGTACTGAAGCATAGGTCTTAGAATAAAATAGGTGCCTGCATTTACTGCTGGCTGGAGAAGTGACTCCCAGATTATTCTTGCTTCTAGCCAACGGTCTCTTTTGTGAGGTTTTGAAAGTTTGTTCCTCGTTCTTCCTAGTTCTTTCTCTTGATTCTCCTCCTTTCTTCCCCCATCCCCCACTCCTGTGGTTTTTCTCCTCTTCCTTTAACTAAACCTCATCTGTTAAAATTCGGAATTATCTGCTAGCCAGTCAGTTATTCTTATTTGTAATAGAACTAAAACACATTCATATTAGTTATTATATTATGCAACTTCCTTGAGAAGGACCTCAAACTTACGAGTGTACCTATTATGTACCTCATGCTGTGCAAAGTTTATATAGTTGTCCTTTATCTTGCAGAACACACAGAGATCCTCTAAACCTCTGAAATAGAGTATTATCCTTATTTTTACAGAGGAGGAGATAGGGGCATAGAGAGCTCATGTAATTTGACCTTTAAAATTCAGTCAATCTCAGCTCAGGTCTTTCTTATCTCACAGTTCATTTTGCCATCATTACATTCTGCCCTTGTGATCAGGAAAAGGTTTTTGTGGGGGCTCTGGGACAGAGGAAGCAATAGTGGGGTGTCAGGGAATACTCCTGAGACCATATTAGACCTCTGTGCTGCCCTTGGAGGTGAACCTGATTTGTAGGGAGATGGAAGGGGGAGAAGGAAGGAGATGCCACCGGCCTCCTTCCCCCCAACCCTGGTTCTGTGGAGGCTCACTAAGGTTCCCAGGAATTCTGGGGTGGTGGAAGCCTGGGTCTTCCCAGTGCTGCATCTTCTAGGCTAAGATGTGTGCCTGCTTTGTGCTACCAGAGGCCTGCTTGCCTGTGTACAGCCCTCTCTTCCCTGGCATAGTTGGTGCTTTCTTATTAATGATTGTGAGAATCCTATTGTTGTTGTTACCAGGCTTTATGGGACATCTGTTGTAGTCAGTTTTTCTCTGTCTTGGTCTACTATGGTTTGACTCTTAACTCAGTTGTTTCTATACATGATAGGTTATTTAAATAGGCTTTTTAAAAAACAGTTTTATTGAGTTATAATTAACATACCATACAGTTAACCTTTGGGATAAGGAGGTGTTACTTTATTGAAGCATAGAGCCTCATATTTGAAGCTATTTCTAAGCCCCCCTGGTTGCATAGTGGAGTTGTGCTAGTGGCAACTGCAAATGTGTCCTATACAATTAAATGTCAAAGGACTGAACTTGATCCATTGTGTGTTTGATTTTATAATTGCCTGTGTATATGATCAGCGAGTTTCATGTGATTACTTTAAAGGCACTTGCTGGGTTATGCTTTTTTTTTTTAAATTGCAGTAACATTGGTTTATAACATTATATAAATTTCAGGTGTACATCATTATATTTCGATTTCTGTGTAGATTACATCATGTTCACCACCCAAAGGCTTATTACAGTCTGTCACTACACACATGTGCCTAATCACCTGTTTTGCCCTCCTCCCTCCCCCCTTCCCCTCTGGTAATCACCAGTCCAATCTCTATCTCTGTGTGTTGGTTGTTTTTATCTTCTACTTATGAGTGAGATCATACGGTATTTGTCTTTTTCCCTCTGACTTATTTTGCTTAGCAGAATATGGGGTTATGCTTAATATGTTTATATACAGATTATTTTGATTCTGACCAGAATGAACAATATAATATCATAATGAAATTCTAATACTTTTAAAATATGGTAGCTCAGCTATACTTTATTCATAACTTCTTTGCTTAACCTTACATTTTAGTGTTTTTGGACATAGCCAGCCAGTACACAGATGATCGCTTTGGTTTGTTCATTTATGAATGTATTTGTCCTAATAACACTGTTCATTATTAATATTCTCTTGTAGATGTGAGAAGGGTGTTATGTCTCTGGTGAATGTCCGGAACTGTATTCGCTTCTATCAGACTGCGGAGGAACTGAATGCTAGCACACTGATGAACTACTGTGCAGAAATTATTGCAAGTCATTGGGTGAGTGAGAGACTGGGGGGTGTGGACAAAGCACCCTCACTGGAAGTCAGAAGACCTGGGCTTGGGACCTGGTTCCATAGAAAGTTACCTCTCTGGCCCCTAGTCTCCTCTTATTACAAAATTGAAGGCTAAGTAGTTGCATCTGATGATCTGTGAGATTCGTTTTGGTTGTAAAAGTCTCATAGTTCTGATTTCAGAGTGGAGAGGCAGAAGATAGCTCAGGTCAAGAAACAGGCTTAGAATGAAAGCACACCTGCCTTCACCCTCCAGCTGCAGAAGCTGCAAATGAGCCATGGGAGAAGGTGCTGCTGTGGGGCCAGCAGGCCCGCGGTGCTCAGCAGCACCATTTCAGGGCTTTGCCTGGCTGTCTCCATTGTGTGGGGAGCATTGTTAAATTTAGATTTGCCTGTCTTAGGTAGCTTTCATCATAAAGAACAGCTTTTGCATTTCTTTGTTATGTTGTCTATTTTGCATTTTTTAAAAAATCATGGCTAGTGCTATGTTTTATAACCTAGTTTCTGCAAATTGTTTGGTATTCAGTAACATTAGGAAGAAAAGTGTCTAAGAGAACTGAATTTTAAAGAATTGAAACAGGAATGGTAAGCTTTCTGCTAAAATAGTAGAAATTTAGAGATGTGCCATAGTAGGGACCAGCTATGACTCAGTGGAGTGAACTGTTTGTAGAAGTTCTGATTAGTTCAGTGATTGCCGTCTTTGTAGGGTAGGGGTGGGGAAGACTCTATTCTCCTCTGGAGGGCTCCTCATGACTGCATGCTTGTTGGGTGTCAGTGTTGCTCATGGTTTTCTGTCTCACTGAGAGGCACCGAGGTGCTATGGTAAAGAGGACAGGCTCGGGAGGTGGACCTCTGGGCTCCAGATCCTGGCTCAGCCATTTACATTCTGTGTGACCCTGGGCAAGTTATTTAGCCTCTTTATGCTTTACTTTCTTCATCTGTAAAGTGAGGATGATAATAGTACCTACCTCATAGGGTTTCTTTGAGGATTAAATGAGTAGGGAAATGTTAAGCCCTTTAAAGTAGGGCCAGACACATTCCAAGGGCTTCTTAATAAATGTCAGTTGTTGTTATGGTTGATATGTTGAATCTGTTCTGCTTCTTACTATCTTTTTAATCCTTAGGATGATTTACGAAAGGAGGACTTCAGCAGCATGAGTGCCCAGTTGTTGTACAAAATGATCAAATCTAAGACTGAGTACCCCTTACATAAAGCTATCAAAGTAGAGAGAGAAGATGTGGTCTTCCTTTATCTAATTGAAATGGATTCACAGGTACTGTAGCTGTTTTTTCCATTTTTCATACCTTTTCCCAAAACTATACTTCACTTGTAATGCTCCTCACTTCTTCCTGAGCAATCACTGGCACAGTTGTTAATGTATATATTTCTACTAGTAGTCTATTCAAGGTAATCTGAGCTTTTTTTTATCATGCGCCTCAAAATTCTTCCAGCCTCTGCCCATTGCCCCATTCCAAAGTCACTTCTGCATTTTCACATGGTTGTTACAGCAGTACCTAATTTCCAGTACTAAAATCTGTTTTACTTTTCTTTGCTGCTGTGAGAAATTACCACAAACCTAGTGGCTTAGAACAACATAAATTTATTGCCTTATAGTTTTGTAGGTTGGAAGTCCAGGACAGGCATCATCCGTCTAAAATCAAGGTGTCAGCAGGCTGTGTTCCTTTCTGGAGCCTCTAGGGGAGAATCCATTCCCTGCTCGTTTCGGAGAGGAATTGTTGGCAGAATTCAGTTCCTTGTGGTTATAGGACCAACATCCCTATTTCTTGCTGGCTATAAGTGGATGGCCATTCTCAGCTTTTAGAGGCCACCACATTCCTTAGCTCATGGCCCCCTTTCTCCATCTTCAAAGCCAATAATGGTGAATCAGGTCCTTCTCGTGTCACATCTCTTTGCTTCCCTCTTTCACTTTTAAGGACTCATGTGATTAGATAGATTGGGCCCCCCTGGAAAATTCAGGACACTCTCTCCTTCTCAAGGTCCTTAACATTAATCATATCTGCAAAGTGCCTTTTGTCATGTGAGATGACATATTCACAGGTTCTGGGGATTAGGATGTGGACATCTTTGGGGGCTATTATTCTGTCTACCACATTGCTTTAGGAGAAATGCAATTGCTCTTGTCAGATGAGAGTGTAGTATGTTTTATCCTGGCTGTCCAGTGTGTGGGGAAGACTTGAAACGGCTGGGAGGAATTAGATAGTTAAGCCGCAGTCTTTCATGAAAAGGTTAGCTGTTTCCCCTCAGGCTCTCTGAATCTCTGCCCTGGCACTTGTGTTCCTAAAGCACTGTCTGCATGTACCCCGTGGTCCTTGCCTTGTCTTCCATGGTGTTTGGTCTGCTCTGTGATTCCCCATTAATTCTGTGGTCCCCGAAAGGCGTGTGCCCTGAGGAGGCTTGAGAGAAGTTTGTGAATTGAGTTGAATTTGGAGAGTAAACAGTGTTAGATCACTAAAATTTGACATTTGTATAAGAGATGATATTTAAGACTCAAAGTGGGAGAGATTAAAATCAGTTGTATTCTCTACTGGCTGGGTACTAATTTACAAATTTACCTGTGCAGCTCCCTGGGAAGCTGAATGAAGTGGATCATAACGGGGATCTTGCTTTGGATCTAGCGCTTTCACGACGACTAGAGAGTATTGCCTCCACGCTGGTTAGTCACAAAGCTGATGTGGACATGGTGGACAAGAATGGCTGGAGCCTGTTACATAAAGGAATCCAAAGAGGTAGGAAGAGTGTATATTTTTCTCTGCGGGCAGTTTTACTTTTATCCAAGTAATTTTTGAAGACTTTCTGACCCTGTTCGACAAATTCTCAAAGGCTTCTTGAGAGGCTTGTACTCACAAGCCACATGATTTAGAATTTGTGATCAGTGGGTCAGAGGAAAGACTGAAGAGCTACTGCCTATGCCTTGTTGGTTAGGCTCTTCATAGTATCAACGGGGGCCCCAGAAGAAAGGCTAGAAAGATGGTACTTTCAGAAGAAGTACCTTTTACTTGTAAGCAGTTGATATGTTTGCTTAGTCAATATATCACTTTCTCCAGGAATTGTGTTAGGAAGACTTTACTTATATCGGTTACTGTAAGAGAGGGAAAGTATCAAAACCATGAATGTGGGGCCGACCCCGTGGCGTAGCAGTTAAGTGTGTGCGTTCTGCTGCGGTGGCCCGGGGTTTGCAGGGTCAGATTCTGGGCGCGGACCAACGCACCGCTTGTCAAGCCATGCTATGGCGGCGTCCTTTATAAAGTAGAGGAAGATGGGCACGGATGTTAGGTCAGGGCCAATCTTCCTCAGCAAAAGAGGAGGATTGGCATTGGATGTTAGCTCAGGGCTAATCTTCCTCACAAAAAAATAAAAATAAAAAATAAATTAAAAAAAAAACCATGCACATTTAAATAAATTCTTGGTTTCAGATTTTTCACTTTTTTTTGTTGTTGTTGAGGAAGATTAGCCCTGAGCTAACATCTGTGCCCATCTTCCTCTGTTTTTTTATATGTGGGACACCCACCACAACATGTCTGGTGAGTGAGTGGAGGAGGTCTGTGCCCGGGATCCGAACCTGTGAACTCGGGCCGCTGAAGCAGAACGCACGGAACTTTAACCACTTGGCCATGGGGCCAGGCCCTCAGATTTTTCATTTTTATGGACTAGACTTCTCTTCTATCATGGTGAAGTGATAAAATTTCATTTTGTTCCAGGAAAGTTATTTGAAATTATAGCTATATTTTGAGTATGTTGCGATTAGTAATGGGAAGAATATGGAAGTGATAGAATTAAGATCAGAGTACCTTAATGAATTACCTTTTCAAGGAAAAAAAGTACTAGTCTTTTGTTTTGTTTCTCCCATGGCCTTATTAATTCTTAAGTCCCAAATGGATCCTGCCTGATTCTACTTTGCATTAGTCATTTTTGACAGAATGAGGAGCTCTATAGAGATAGAGTTCTAGTATGGAATGAAAGCTGTCAAAAGTGTGAAAGCCTCCTTTTGTAGATGGATAGATGACTTGATTGAAGTCCTTGGCCATGGCTGCTTTTTTGTTTACATGTGGGCATCAAAAACAGAATATATTGCTTTCCCCACATCTTAATCATGTATGTTTACCCTTCCAGTTATGCATTATTATACTATTACTGTCTCTGCTACACTTTTACTATTCACAAGTTGCTCCTAGTTGGTAGAATGTAGTTACTTCAAATATGGTCCTGTTGCAGCTGTGGCGTTGCCCTTTTTGGGCAAAGGTTTTAATGTAAATATCCCTGTAAGCCACGTGTTAGAGTGTTAAGCTTGCTGGCTGATGGAGAGGAAAATTTTGTTCATCATTGGGAAGGAAATCCTTAGAGTATGTCAGTGTCAAGAGCAGATGCATTTTTCCCAAGCACTACTCTGCACTGTGTAAAGCCATCGGGTGCTTAGCACTGGGTGTGTTTTCAGGGGGGAAAGTTTCCACCACATAGGGAATTATTCTTTCCCATACTGTTCAGTGTCTGAGATGTTTATTTTGGAAACAAATACGCTTGTTACTAAAAAAACAATCTCAGAATTATGTTTCTTTCCTCTTAGGGAGTTAAATTCTTATGTGTGATGAAAAAACATCTTTGACGAGTTATTAAATATTTTGGTGATTGCTTAGTTACGAGAATTGCCAAGAATTGGTGATGCATTTTGATGCTTATTTTCAGACAATTTAATCTTTCACTCAGAATTTATCGGTTGTCTGCAAGCCTGTGGATTACGGTTGTGGGTGTGATAAACTTGATTGTTGCTAACCTTGGAGAGTGTGACGTGGTGTGGCAGCAGAGCACTGGTGTTGGAGCTTGGACGTACCAAGGTTTGAATCTTGGCTCATCCACTTTGTCTGTGGCCTTGGACAAGTCACTTAACCACTCTTGAGTCTCCTGTTCTTCATCTGTAAAGTGGGAATCATTTCTGCTTTACTGGTTGTTGGGAGAGTGAGAGACAGTGTTAGTAGCTTAGGTAGCACAATAACTACCATGTGGTACCGTCAGCCTGCAGCTCCAACCTTGCCCCTGTGTTGGATTGCCATAAGCAGCTCCATTTCCTGTAGGAATTTTTTCACTTTTCCTTCTTCAACTTGAGCTCTCAGTCTGTTGACCTGTCCAAATGATTAAAGTGAGTAATATACTTAAATTTAACTGTTAACCTTACTTTAAGTTCATTATAACATGAGTGAACATCTTTAATATATGTGATGTTGGTCTGGTTCTGGACACACATTAGAATCTATAAATGAAATAGTGAGTGATCATCCTAATAACCAAGTACACCAGTCAGTTTGTATGAAGAATGAAACAGGCAGCCAGTGTCTGTGGCTGAGTCCACAGGAGGTACACATATGACCAGAAGGATACCATCTCCCCTGATTAGCTGGATCTGGGCAAGAAGATGAATGCTTGCTTTAAAAAAAAAAAAAATCTAGTTCTTCTTGTGCTTATTTTCCTTAATAATTAACATCAATCAATGGGTCTCTTAAATAGGATGCTCCTGTCTGTTTGTAGTAGATTACAGATGATGCCACCAGCCGGAGCAGCATGAGTTACAGTTTGTATTAATTAAATAAGGAAAGTTACTGGCTATTCCCTGAATAAAACTTTTGTCAGGAAGCTGCATTGAAAGAAAAATTGTATGTGGGTTGTTTTTGTTTTTTTTTAACATTAACTATGTTGTTAGGAATATTTTTATGTGGACAAGTCATTATAGTAATGCCTCATTTACCTGGCAGTTTCAGTGAATCAGGTGATGAAGTAACTGAAAGATTAAGCACCAAACAGTTTTTATTTTAACTGTTTTTGATGGAAATCTTGCTAAATGTATTAGAAGTTTTCTTATTGACAAACTTTATAAATGGTGCTTTTGGCGTCTTCTGTTCCCCACCTTTGTCCTGCTCTTTTGATGTCAGTTGTCTTTTTCCGCTAGGTTGTGTACCCATGGGTGACTTTCTTTTAATGTAAAACATCATCAATTTTCAATTTCCAATAATTCCTAAGTAACTTTTTGTGTGTTGTGCATATATGTATGTATGTATAAGTAAAAAAAAAATTTGGCTTGTATTAATAAAGTAAATCTAATCTAAAGCTACGGTTCTTTTAAGAGGGCTTAAGATATAAGAATTTTTTTTATTATGCCTTCCGTCTGAATCCAACCATTGATAGGTTTTCTCTGTGCAGTATTGCCCAGTTTATCTTCCGTATGTATACTGTATTTTACGTTTTCATTAACCTATCTTGTTTTAGCTTTACTATCTGTTTATCTCTTAGTTTGGAATATATGCCAAGCTTAAGGGTAATAAAACCACCTTCCACCTCTCTCCCAGTATCTTATATATTGGACCTTTCATTTTAAGGCTCTCTGTCCTAGTAATTCTAAATTTTCTTTCCAGAATGTAAGTGGCTTTCTCTAGGATATCTTATTCTATTACTAATGTATTGTTTATCCATATTCTCTCCTAGACTGAATCTCTGTGAGGTTTGTTCATACTACCCATTAAGGCCCTACTGAGAACCCCACTGTGTATATGTTTGTATGGATAGCAAAGGCCTGACCCAGCCTAGCCCCCTGATGTGCATTTTACCTGTTGCTTTCAGAGCTCAACCGACATCCTATTGTAAAGAAATCTAAGCTTTGGTCCTTTGCACATGATGTGTGTAAAGATTGCACCTCCCCCACCCCCCGAGAAAAAAATTGGGGGCAGAAGAATGAAAATATTTCAAAAGGAGCTAGGTAGAGAAGTCTTAAGTTATCCAAAGTTGTAATTGATTGGAATTAGAGCCAGTCTGTTTAGGTGTAACCTAATAGCCTTGACCAGTCAATCAGTTTTCTTCCCAAACATTTCCCTGGTGCCTATTTTGTATAAGACAGTGGTGGATACAAAAATAAATCAGACATGGAGCAATCAGTATCTGAGGGGCCTATGGTGGCCTAGCCATCTTAATGCCAGAGCTTACATTCTCTAGCAAGATAGTCCCTTGGAAGAAAGTTAGAGCAGATGGAAAGTGTTGAAAACCAGATGATTTTGAAATTCCATGTCCACTGAAGACCAGAGGAAACCCATACATTCAGATGAAAATGAGCATAGGAATACAGTCATGTGTTGCTTAACAATGGGGATACGTTTTGAGAAATGCATCATTAGACGATTTTGTCATTGTGCAAACATCGTAGGGTGTACTTACACAAATCTGGATGGTCTAGCCTACTACACACCTAGGGTATATGGTACTAATCTTATGGGATCACCGTCATACATGCGGTCCATCCTTGACCAAACGTCATTATGCAGTGCATGACTGTACTGATAACACACACTTGAGAGCTTTTTCACTCCTGAAATCCTAAGCCCCATTCTGGGTTTTCAGACTGCAGAAGTATAGTTGAAGAAGATGAAATGATATTGCAAGATATAAAAGAAAACTTATAAGTGACTTTGTTAGAGAAGATCATCTGGAAGTTGTGATTCAAAGGAGTGTGCATCGGCAATACCTAACAGAATTAGAAACAGATGAAAGTGTCCTGGCGCAAAGACAAAAACAGACCGGCTATAGAAAGAACACCATTGCCTGTGATCAGTATAGTAAAGAAGTTCCAAGGCACCTTCAACAAGCCAGAATTCATCCTAAGACCTCCAACAAATTATGAAGTATAGTCAAGGATCACGGGGCCAGCAAATCAACCTGGGAGGTTGTTCTGCATTTTTGAGATCTTCCAGCTGAAGAAGGAAGTAATTTGCAAGGAATTCATCCTGTAGATCTAGGTGAAATGGAGATAGAATCTACAGAAAGTACTTCGGAATCTCAGATGAGCTCTTGGGATGACTTAGATAGGTACTCTGGCACAGCCATCAAAATTAGACATGTGTCGGGCCGGCCCCGTGGCTTAGCGGTTAAGTGCACGCGCTCCGCTGCTGGCAGCCCGGGTTCGGATCTGGGCGAGCACTGACACACCGCTTCTCTGGCCATGCTGAGGCCGCGTCCCACGTACAGCAACTAGAAGGATGTGCAGCTATGACATACAACTAACTACTGGGGCTTTGGGGGAAAAAATAAATAAATAAAATTTTAAAAAAATTAGACATGTGCAGGGCCGGCCCGGTGGCGTAGCGGTTAGGTTCGCATGCCCTGCTTCGGCGGCCCGGGGTGGGCAGGTTCCGATCCCGGGCGTGGACCGACACACCACTTGTCAAGCCATGCTGTGGCAGCATCCCATATAAAGTAGAAGAAGATGGGCATGGATGTTAACTCAGAGCCAGTCTTCCTCAGCAAAAAGAGGAGGATTGGCATTGGATGTTAGCTCAGGGCTAATCTTCCTCACACACACACACACACACATACACAAAAATTAGACATGTGCACTGTCAAGGGGAGGATGAGTTTGATTTGAAAGACTTCCAGGCCATGAGCTAAGTGGTGCCACCTGGAGGCCACTGACAGAAACAATTGCTTTCACCCAGCTAGGCGGAATACCTGAAAGCGTGCGTTGTGCATTTATAACTGTATGATTTCTTTGTTAATAGTTCATTATTTTATGATGCATTGTTATTCTTGCCTTATTTTCTTAGGAAGTGTTAATTTTATGTATAGTGAGTTTTTGCATGTTTCAAATTGTAAATGAAACTAAATCCAAGGAAGATCGAACTTTTAAGTAATTTTACAACAAACTTAATTGCTTAATCCCTATCATCTTTCAAGTTAATTTAACAAGTATACTTTAACTGGTTTTCCATAGTATTTTTAATATTAAACTTACACTTGTCAGATTGCTTGGTTCTGAATTTAACCATGTATTAACAGAATCAATCTAGAGTCAGCTTTTCTTTGCTGGTATCTGACAAAGTATTTTCAGAATTGTATACCTTTAATATCTTTATGAAAACTTAATTCTTGGCCTTTTGTCAAGATGTCAATGTAGTTTTTTTTTCCTCCTACAGAGCACAGAATAGTCAAAGATGGTAGTTTGAGCTGTTGAAATTATTGGATTTTATGTAAGTTATTCATCTTAATTTGGTATTTGTAAATAGTCTTAGGTAGACTCTTCTACCTGTAATGCTCCAAGAGTTAAGGCGATGGAAGGGACTGAGAAAGAAGTTTTGTTTTTACAACCTGTTAATTTACCATGTGTAAATAGTAATGTGTACAGATTCTTTGTTCAGATATTCAGTTGTAAACTTGTTAAAGACTGTTATGTTTGTATGTAATGAGATTAAGAAAATCAGAAGAATCTTTGTAATGATACTAAATCAATCAGACATGGTCTTGCTCTGAACAGAACACCACGGGCTCAAATGGGGAGTTGGAGGAGCAGAAGTGTTTGTATTCTCCCTTTTCTTTCCTTCTATGTTTGGCACAAACAGTTCTTTGGCTTATTATAGGGCAGTGTGACAAAAATACATTCTAACAGCAATTAAACACCGTGTCTGCACCACGTATGCAAGTACAGTAGGTTGGGGGTAAGTGTTGCCTTAGGTACAGACTGTGGCCAGGAAATGAGAGGAAGAAATAAATTGTGTTGGGGAAGAATCTTGGAACCCTCTTTGAGGGTTGATGATCAGAAGAGGCCTTTTTTGAATTCGAGTATGTAACTCCATGATCTGAATGATGAGTTTCCACTTGCAGGTGTCCCAAGAGGTTCCACTTCAGACATGCCCTGTTGTCCCTCTTCTTTTTTTTCCCCTCCAGTTATTTTATTGAGGTCACAGTGGTTTATAGCATTGTGTAATTTCAGGTGTACATTATTATTTATCAGTTTCTGTATAGACTGCATCATGCTTACCACCAATAGTCTGATTTTTCTCTGTCACCACATACATATGCCCCTTTCCGGTTGTCCCTCTTCTTTGTCTGTAGTTACTCGTCCCTTTTTGAGGAAGTATTGGCCAGAATAGCTTGCCCTGGGTGTTTTCATATGTGACTATTTCTTCTATTGTTTTTTTTCAAGGAGATCTTTTCGCTGCCACTTTCCTCATTAAGAATGGGGCCCTTGTCAATGCTGCTACATTGGGTGCCCAGGAGACACCACTGCACCTTGTGGCATTGTACAGTTCAAAGAAACACTCAGCAGATGTGATGTCTGAGATGGCACAGATTGCAGAGGCCCTCTTGCAGGCTGGTGCCAACCCCAACATGCAGGACAACAAGGGCAGGTAAGTTGGGGAACAGATAGGCTGCTCTTAGCACTAATCTCAGAGTGTTATTTTATGGTAGTGCGTAACTGGCAGACAGGGACTTCGTGTTTTTGATTCAGCATTATTCAATCTGACTTTTTTTTTTTGTGAGGAGATCAGCCCTGTGCTAACAACTGCCAATCCTCCTCTTTTTTTTTTTTTTTATGCTGAGGAAGACTGACCCTGGGCTAACATCGGTGCCCATCTTCCTCCACTTTATATGGGACGCCGCCACAGCATGGCTTGCCAAGCAGTGCGTCTGTGCGCGTCCGGGATCTGAACCAGCGAACCCCAGGCCGCCGCAGCGGAGCGCGCGCACTTAACCGCTTGCGCCACCGGGCCAGCCCCTCAATCTGATTTTTATTGAAGTCACAAACATTGATTTATTATGCAAATCAGAGGCACAGCTAAGGCCAGAGCCATTTGAGGAAATCATTTCCATCCTGGGTAACTGAGGTCCTTGGATTTTTAAGCAATTTCTGTCATCTTCAGAGTGGTCATCTGGTCCAGTTCTTCCAAGGGAATCTTCTTCCAGCATCTTTGTTAGAGTTGCCTGGATACTTTGAAGAAGAGGAGCACACTATCTCAAGGCAGTCTGTTCTGTTTCTGTGAGGTCTTATTGTTGGGAAATTCTCTGTATTAAACTCAATTCTGCCTTTTTGTAAATATGCCCACTTCAGACAACTGTATCTGCACAGCCTGCCCTTTGCATATTTGACAGTAGTTGTGTTCCCTTTGCCCCTTCCCAGAAATATTTAGTTGAGGATTCCTTGTGGTTCTAAGAAAGGGCTGCTTGTCTTTGGGACAGCAGTGTGGGAGGCACTGAAGGGGAGTAAAAGTGCCTGAATCACCAACAGTTGGGACCCACTTTTCATCATAGCAGCTCAGTATTTTATACCTTTGAAAACCCTCTCAAAAAATGAGAAAAGAGTTCTTTGAAGTTGTCAGAATAGGAAATAGATTTGTGTGATAAAGTACTTAAATAAGATGGATCTTCATGAACTCTCAATATCATTATTTCCCAAAATAATTGCATCCATTTTTTTCTTCTGTTGATTCTTTAATTTTTTTCTCCCAACTGCAGCAAACTCTGGCAGTCTGTACCTCTGAGATACATGCCAGCTGGGGGGTCCCTGTGCTCTGCAGTGGCAGTCTCCTTCAGGGCACTTGAGGGCTAAATAAAAGCAGTGAAGAATAGTTAAATGCCACTTTAATCAGTTCCTATCTGTTTCCATTTGAGTGTGTTTGAGTATAGCAGAGAATTATGCAGAGAAAAAAATTTCTTGTCATAATTGTGGAGGATAGGTAGGGAAAAATATGCATACCTATGGTAGAAACTGCTGTTTTAAAAACATGAGTTTATACACATTCAGTAAGGGTCAGGATTTCATTAGAGAGCATTTTCTTTCCCTGCCTTTTATTAATTCTTGTCCTTTTGTCCACTGAGTAAATGGTAACATATAAGCAAATCCATTTTCATTCTTTAATACTTAGTCATGGTTTTGGAAAACTGCTTGCCAGGGTAGAAAAAGACACTGTTGCAGAAGTGTGGAATTTCTCGTGGATGGTGGTTCTGCCTAGGATTCTAGTCGGCTCCTGCTATGAGTAGTCCGGAATTGGGCCTGTCCTGGATTAACACCTCTTCTTTTTCATCCTGCAGGACTCCCTTACACTTGTCCATCATGGCCAGGAATGAATATGTGTTCAATCAGTTGCTGCAGTGTAAACAGTACGTAAGGAGACATGGAGAACTGAAAAAGCAGTTGTGAGGGTGGGATTGTGAGTGAAAAGTAATTCTTTTAAAATGTCTTTCAGTGTTATAAATTGTAATAAGTAAAACTAAAATAAAAAATTGTCATTCAAAAAGTATAAAGAGAAAGAATGAGGCTGTTGGCAGTACAGAGTGTCTGAGGAAGATTATATTTGCGGTTCATGTTGCTCTCTTCCTTCAGATTAGATTTAGAACTGAAAGACCACGAGGGCAGCACAGCTCTGTGGCTTGCAGTGCAGTACATCACTGTGTCTTCCGACCAGTCTGTAAACCCCTTCGAAGACCTCCCTGTGGTAAATGGAACTTCATTTGATGAAAACAGCTTTGCAGCCAGACTCATTCAGCGTGGGGGCAACACCAACGCACCTGATACGGTAACAGGTAAAGCATAGATCCTAAGAACTGATGCTCAAGTCTGGAGGCTCCATGAAATATTGTGTCCATGTTTTTTACCAATAAAAGTTGGAGACTGAATGGCATACTATTATGAGAGTTGTTTTGTACTTAATTTTAACTTTAGTAAAAGCCTGAGTTATTTTTTTTTGATCTTATGCTTCAGAAAATTTAGCCAGACTACATGTTGAGTTCTTTAAGCTAAAACACTTCCATTTAACGTAGTGACTTGCAGACTTTTTTGGACTCTGAACTCCTTTTCCCTTCTTAAAAGTTATATCCCGAAGAGCTTTTTGTTTAGGTGGGTTATGTCTTTGATATTTACTGTATTAGAAATTAGAACTGAGAAATTTTTAAAAGATGTATTAATTAATTTAATATTAATAACAAACCATTATATGTTAACATATAACATTTTTTATGAAGAATAACTTTCAAAACAAAATTTAGTTGGGAGAGTGACTGGTTTCTTATATATACATCTGTATTCAGTCTTTTGAGATATGTTGTTTTGGTTAAAGTATATGAAGGAAATATACCCTCACACAGTTAGGTAGTTGGAAAAGGGAGGTGTATTTTAAGAGCCTTTTCAGATAATTGTGGATATATTTCTTTGATACCACAGCAAGCAAACCCACAGCAAGCAAAATTCATCAAGTGATAGTTTCTTTAAGGTTAGTTGCAATGTGGAATCGGAAACCATATCAATGAACTTTTTGTACTCTGTTATATTAAAATCTATGGTCTGTTTGCTTTGAATGAATCTTTTCTCCATGCATGATTTTGTAACATCATGCCTTAGTCATTTGGAAAATGTTGGTTCGCTGAGTTATGCAGATCTTCCAAATGTTCATTTATTTTGGAATCACGTTTATTAATATCACCACTGATCTCATCAGAAAACTCTTTCAGTGTTGAGAAGCTGTCAAACTCACAGTTGCAGATAAAGGTTTTCCAAAATTCTAATTTTCACTTGCAAGATCAAATTTTATCATTTGGTACAAATATTGCCAATTGTTTTTCTTAAAGAGACAGGCTCACTTTGTTCCTTTTCAAGAAGATATCTGCCAGATACTCACATTTGAATAACCATAGTTTATCAATCAGTCATTCTTTCAAGTAAAAATGATGTTCCATGAAAAAAGCTGCAGTTCGGCTTGCAGCTTAAACAATGGCACAAGTGCTTTTCCCCCAAGGCAACTATTGTACTTTGTTACACAGCAAATATGGCTTTATGCATACTTCTTATTTTGTTACACAGAATTTTAAAAAACATGTACTCAATGTTGAGATTTAATAAAGTTAGTAATTTTTACTGCTTTATCAAGGTCCACCTTAAGTGAAACTGGCTCCTTTTTTTTGACTGGGTGCGTGGTGGTGAAGAATACAATGACTCCTAGTACATTTTGGGGCCCTTGCCTTGATTTGTGTGAAGGCTCTCCAGTTTGATCCACCATTGCTTTTGCACCATCCGTGCAAATGTCAGCACAGTGGGGAAAAGCAGATAACATCAAGCATTATTATTATGAGAATAGTTTTGACCTTATGCATCCCCCGGAAAGACTTCTCAGGAGCCCTCAGGAATCCATAGACCACACTTGGAGAACCACTGTTTTAATGTGAATATTTCCTTGATCTGACTAAATAAAACATGAGGATATTTTAAGGAGAGGGATTCCATATAATTTAGTATTGATTACTAGCATTGGAAAAAGCATGGATAGGTGCCACTGATGAGTCGAATTAGCCAAAAAAAGATGGATATTAAACAGCCCTTTCCCTAAAAGAAGTTAAAAATTAACTTCTTCAAAATAAAAGTCAAATGAAATCACTCCTCTGGGTGACATAAAAGCTAAAAGCAGTGGTACTACAGGACAGGAAGTACAGGAAGAACCGTATTTTAGACTAAAGACCTGGAAATGAGATGTTACTAAATTGCTTTTAATTTGCTAAGGTATGTTGGTTATTGGCCATAATTTTACTGATTTCTGATTTAATTGCATCGTATAAGAGGGTGGCATGTGAGAGATTGATGTGCGTTAAATCAAGCTTGTTCATTATGCTGTTCAAATCTTATTCACTTCTTATTAACTTTTGGACTGCTTGATCTGTCAGTTTCTGGGAAGTATATTAAAATTTTTCACTGTGATTATGGATTTGTCCAATTTTTCTTGCTAGCTCTGCCAGTTTTACTTTGTATACTTTGAGTTTTAATACAAGGTAAGGATTATTATTTTTAACGTGTTCCATTTTTCATTATAGGTATAATAACATTAGTTCCCTGTTTTTCAACATTTCAGTAACATTTTAGCAGTCACAGGTTATCCTTATTCTATAGGGAGGTAGGTCTATGATTTAAGTCTTGTGTACCTCGGAATGACTACAGAAGTGAAAATGGGACTCTCATTAGGAGTCTCTAAATTAGAATGACTCTAAACTAGGGGTGGAATCACTTCCTCGGAGGGAAAAGGAGAAAATGGTATGAAAACAAAGTGGTGCTTTGTCCCATTTCCCTTGTTTTTAGTCCTGGTATTTAGTTTAATTTGAGTTTCAAGTAGCATAGCTGTAGAACATGAGATTTGGTGTTTATCCAAAAAGGAAATGGACTTTAATAAAAAGAGAAACACTGCTTCCGGGCTAAAACCATTTCTAGAGGAAAAGAAAAAACAAATTTTGGTTTTTTTCTTTGCAAGATTTTTATTTAGGAAAGAGTGATAGTGCTAAGGAAAACATTTCTAAGCCAAGAACAAACATATTTAAGGCCCTAGGAATAAAACTGAAGTGTTAAGGGGTATTTTCTGATAGAACTTAAGCTCACAATGTCTTCAAATTAATCATCTAGCCCAGAGGTTCTCAGACAGGAGCCCCACCACCACACACACAGGACATTTGGCAACATCTGTAGACGTTTTTGTTTGTCACAACAAGGTTGGGGGTGCTGTTGGCATCTAGTGTGCAGAAGTCAGGTATACTGCTAAATATCATATAGTGTACAGGACAGACCTCCACAACAAAGAATTATCTAGCCCAAAATATCAGTAGCATTGCTGTTGAGAAACTGTTCTAACCCAACTCTGGTAGGGAGACATAACTTACCTCTGGTCCTGGGGGATGCCTGGTGATAAACCCAGGGAAGAATGAATGTCTTCTGACTTCCAGACCAAGATGTTGCTCCACCCATCCTCATCCTAGTCTCTGTGTCCACATACAGAGAGTGCCTGTGTATACTTAAATGGTACCTACTTCTGGTGTGGGCTTGTCAGTTGTGAAAGGTGGTGGGGAAGGGCGTGGGGAAGGGCAGAGCGTGATGCAGTGTGGAACTTGACCTCACTTTTACGCACATGGAAGAATGAATATGCCCATTTTCTCCTAGGAAATTGCTTACTACAGCGGGCAGCTGAAGCAGGAAATGAGGCAGCAGCTCTTTTTCTGGCGACCAATGGTGCCCACGTCAACCACAGAAACAAGCGGGTAAGTGTGACAGGGCAGCTCAGGGAAACGGTTTTCGTCTATGGAAGAAATGGCAGTGGTGGATGTGTAGGAAAAAAAAGAATAGATTCTTTTTTCAGTTTTTTTCAAAATAATACATGCACATGGTTTAAAAACCAGAATGAAACAGATGCTTTTATCCTTAAATATTGAGTGATTGATTCATTCAGCAGCTGTTTCCTAAGCATGCTGTGGACTTCATGATCTAATAGAGATTAGCAAACATGTACACAAAAACCTACTACAATAGCATCTTAATTTTTTATAACCTTTCACATTTGCTGAGTTTTACCTATGTGAATGCTTTTTTAATCTGTATCTCAAGCTAACAAGGTAGACTGTATAGTGTTACGGTTAAAGCATGGCCTTTGGGGTTGGACATTCCTGGTTTTACCAGATTTCCCATTTCCCATCCCGCCATATGTGGTCTTAGGCAAGTTATGTAACCTTTCTGAGCTTCAGTTTCCTTATCTATAAAATGGGGTTAATATTGATTTCCTAGGGTCTGGTTAAGATAAAAGGAAATGAAAGGGGTGGCCCCGTGGCTTAGCGGTTAAGTGCGTGTGCTCCGCTGCTGGCAGCCCGGGTTCGGATTCTGGGCGCGCACCGACGCACCGCTTCTCCGGCCATGCTGAGACCACGTCCCACATACAGCAACTAGAAGGATGTGCAGCTATGACATACAACTATCTACGGGGGCTTTGGGGGATAAAATAAATAAGTAAAATTATAAAAAAAAAAAAAGGAAATGATATATTTAAGTGCTTATAGTGTAATATCTGGAACATTAGATACTAAATAATAGTTATTTTACTTATTATTTTCAGGAGGATATGCTTATCTTTAAGATCACATTTATTTTACAACTACTTTGTGCTAGCAGCTTTAAAGATACTATCCCTTTTAATTCTCACAATGGACCTAGAAGTAGCATGTGGTGAAGAGACATTTTCGACATCTATAAATCCCTCATTTCAGTGTAAAGAACCTTGAGGTTCCAAGAGGTTAAGTGGCTCATAAATAATGGAGCCAGTATTAAGACTCGGGTACTAGAACGCGTAGCTGGACACTCTCTTAAGAACACTGCGCAAGGCAGGAAACAGTAAGCTTGGTATATGAGACATACAAAGTGTCTAGGAAGCACAGGGGGAGAGCAGTGCCATTCTTTGCACCATTAAATCTGCTTGTTTATCTGCACCTAGACCCACACATGGCCCGCTTTCCACCTGGAATGATGGCATGGCCCTATACACATTAGTGGCCGGTTTCTTGACTCCTACTCTTATGTGTCTCTGCCTCTGTCTGTCTGTCTTTCCTGTATCATCAATTTTGCCCACTATTCATTTCTTTTTTTTTTTTCAAAGTTTTTTTTTTTTATTATTTATTTATTTATCCCCCCAAAGCCCCAGTAGATAGTTGTATGTCATAGTTGCACACCCTTCTAGTTGCTGTATGTGGGACTCGGCCTCAGCATGGCTGGAGAAGTGGTGCGTCCGTGCGCACCTGGGATCTGAACCCAGGCCGCCAGCATCAGAGCGCGTGCACTTAACCACTAAGCCACGGGGCCGGCCCAACACTATTCATTTCTAATAGCTTACAGACATGCTCTACTGTCTCCCAACTTTAAAAATTCCTCCCTTGAGGCCACCTTGTCTACCCGCTGTTCCTTCTCTGATACCCTTCATAGCAAAACTGGGTGACCTTAAGATGTAGAGGTGCAGAGGAAACCTGACTTAAAAGCAAGTAAGAGCGACAATGGAGAAGGGTCTGGAATGCTGGTGTAGGGTTTTTAGACTTTATCATGTGGGAAGAGAAGATCTGTAGAAGGGTTTTGAGTAGATAAGCAGTAAAATCGTTTTAAAGTTAAGAAAGGGGGCTGGCCCGGAGGCTTGGCGGTTAAATGCACGCGCTCCGCTGCTGGCAGCCCAGGTTCGGATCCTGGGCGCACACCGACGCACCGCTTCTCCGGCCATGCTGAGGCCGCATCCCACATACAGCAACTAGAAGGATGTGCAACTATGACACAACTATCTACTGGGGCTTTGGGGATTAAAAGGGAAAAAAAGGAGGAGGATGGGCAATAGATGTTAGCTCAGAGCCAGTCTTCCTCAGCAAAAGGAGGAGGATTAGCACAGATGTTAGCTTAGGGCTGATCTTCCTCACACACACACAAAAACACATTAAAAAAAAAAAAAAAAGTTGAGAAAGCTACCTGGGATAGCTGGTGTGGTGGGTGTACCATTAAGGTCCAGGCAGGAGCCCGGTGGGAGTCATCTAGACAAGCAATGGCTTGTCCTGACCTCTGATATTGGATTTGGATCCAAAGAGACAGGTTTCAGGCGAATTGCAAAATTATAGTCAATGGGACATACCTGCTTATGGCTCTCAGAAGCAAGAGTGAGAAAGGTGTTAAAACTGTTGTGGTGTACCCATGAAGAGGGGGAGCTGGCCAGGAGAAAGGACTGCTGTGGAGAGAGCAGACTCAATTTTGTGCTTGTTGAACTCCTTTTTAAACATCCAGGCAAGGATATCTAGCAGGCAGTGGGAAATTGGATACAAAAGCAGGGCTGGAGATCTGGGTTTAAGAGTCTCCTGCTTATAGATACTGGCAGAAGTCATGGCAGTAGATAAGCATACCCAGTGAGAATGTGTAGAATGTGTCGGAGCAGAAGATAGCCCTGAGGAGGAGGAGGACGTCCTTGTGAGGGCTCTCATCACAACTGTGATACAGCTCCACAGGGAGGGTGTGGGATGGGAAGGGTGGACGTGTACATGTATACACATACATACGTGTATATGCCTTTCTGTGAATATTCTATCACTGGAGAGAAACATGAAACTGGTAATAAGGGTTTCTTTAGGGGAGGATAATTGGGTGGTGGGGCAAGGGGTGAGAGGAAACTTCTTTTCACTGTATATTCTTGTACCCTTTGAATATTGAATCAAGTACCTGTAATAACAATTTAAAAGGTTTTTAATTTTTTGTGTGTGTGTGAGGAAGAGCAGCCCTGAGCTAACATCCATGCTAATCATCCTCTTTTTGCTGAGGAAGACCAGGCCTGAGATAACATCTGTGCCCATCTTCCTCTACTGTATAGGGGACCCCGCCACAGCATGGCCTGACAAGCGGTGCGTCGGTGCACGCCCAGGATCCAAACCCAGCCCGCCAGCAGCGGAGCGTGCGCACTTAACCGCTAAGCCATGGGGCCAGCCCCTAAAATGTTTTTAATTTTAAAAAGTGGAGGAAGGAAGTCTTGATCAGAGTTCAAGATGAGGTTGCTATGAGCAGGTCAAAGAAACAGGGCATAGATGTGCTGGTTGGGTTAAAGAGTAGAGATGGTTAAACTGCTTACCTCTGGGGCTGTGATTGTGAGGCTCTTTCAGTTTCTTCAGTGTTTTATTTTATTTATTTTATTTTTTGGTGAGGAAGATCGGCCCTGAGCTAACATCCGTTGCCAGTCTTCTTCTTTTTGCTGAGGAAGATTAGCCCTGAGCTAACATCTGTGCCCATCTTCCTCTATTTTATATATGAGATGCTGTCACAGCATGGCTTGGTGAGCGGTGCGTAGGTCCGTGCCCAGGATTTGAACCTGTGATCCCTGGGCCGCCAAAGCGGAGCACGCGAACTTAACCGCTATGCCACCGGGCCAGCCCCTTCAGTGTTTATTTTAATGACAACTTGGAGGTCATCTGTTACTTAATAATCATGTCATTTTTATAATTAGCAAAATAATTATAAAAACAAAGTGAAGGGTGGTTAAGAAGGTCATTGGAAATGCGGAAGATGAGGAGCCACGGCGTTTGGAGGGTACTTGGGAAGACGTTAAAGAAACTAAGGATGATGGCACAGTGGGAAGGGAAGGAGAGGAGACTGGGAACAGTGGGACAAAAGTTCTGGAGGTCAGCTGGTGACAGGGTGAGCCAAGGGCTGTGACTGGCACTAGGGACCTGAGTTTCAGCACTTGGGTTTTCATTATCCCTTTGTGAAGGGAACTCCCAGCCTGAAAGTGGTTTCATTTGGGCCATTTGTTTCTGTTCAGGGAGAAACCCCGTTGCACACAGCCTGTCGGCATGGCCTGGCTAACCTCACTGCAGAGCTCCTGCAGCAAGGTGCCAACCCAAACCTGCAGACGGAGGAAGCTCTGCCTTTGCCAAAGGAGGCTGCATCCCTGACCAGCTCAGTGGACATGGTCTATCTGCAGACGCCGCTGCACATGGCAATTGCCTATAATCATCCAGATGTGGTCTCTGTCATCCTGGAGCAAAAAGGTAGGTAGCTGGGAATTACTGCCCATCACTTTGACCTTCTAACAGTGGTTTTGAGCGGTTACAGAGTTGATGTTTCTTCCATTGGTGAGTTTTCTTACCCAAAAACTGTTTTCAGTTCAAACCAGATATGCATGTAGTCTAGCTCCTGACTACTGTGTTTCCCTGTGTACATTTTCAGAATGGGGCCTGCCCATCTCACCTGTTGGGTTAAGGTGTTAGAACCTTTGACTACTTCTCTCTTGGGGTGTATTTTGGGGTGTTTCCCCAGGCTGTTTCAGTGTAGGTCAGGCAAAGGTTTGCCTTGGCGTGAGCACTCTCTTTGAGAACTTTGCTGTGGCAAGTCCTCCACGAGCTTGTCAGTCTTCTCCTCTGCCTCTGAGCCTCCCTGGCAGGTGAGCCATGAGAGAGGAGCCAGAAAGTGGGGCCAAGGGAAGCCCCTGCAGTAGGGGAGGCCCATTTCCCTCAGAAAGTCATCCTCAGGTTTTTCTCTTCTCTGTCCTGAAATTTCTTTTACTCTTGCCTGCATCCTTGTTAAGGCCAGTATTTTTAGCACTGTGCATGCGGAAGGAAGTGGGATTTTAAGTAGAGTGCCTTTTTCTTGGTCCTCACAGGAGTTGTAAGGTGGTTGGAATTAGGTATTAGGAAAACATCACCAGGGCATTATTCTGATCTTCTTTTCAGTAATCAGGTAATTAATGTGTGTTTCCATAGTGGAGTCTGTTGTCCTTTGGTGAAGATTCAGTGTTCTAAGCTTTAAAAACAGTCATTTTCCCCATAAGCTTTGCTCCAAAATATCAGATTTGTGGGCTTCCACTCCCCACAAGAAGATTTACCTGTTCTGTTGTATAGAAATGATCGTATCATAGCCAGTCAGTTTGAAACTGAGCCTTTATTCTCTTGAATACTTTAAATATGAGCCATGGGGGGCCGGCCCGGTGGCTTAGCGGTTAAGTGCGCGCGCTCTGTTACTGGCGGCCCTGGTTCGGATCCCGGGCGCACACCGACGCACCGCTTCTCCAGCCATGCTGAGGCTGCGTCCCACATACAGCAACTAGAAGGATGTGCAACTATGGCATACAACTATCTACTGGGGCTTTGGGGAAGGAAAAAAAACGAGGAGGATTGGCAATAGATGTTAGCTCAGAGCGGGTCTTCCTCAGCAAAAAGAGGAGGATTAGCACGGATGTTAGCTCAGGGCTGATCTCCCTCAAAAAAAATAATAATAATATATGATCCATGGGATGGTGAAATCAAGTGTTCTGTCCTTTTTAAAAACTTTAGCTAATGCTCTTCATGCCACCAACAACTTGCAAATTATTCCGGACTTCAGCCTCAAGGATTCCCGAGACCAGACTGTGCTGGGCCTGGCATTATGGACGGGTAAGGTGATACCCAAGGCTGTGACGTCTGCAGACAGACAGACGGCAGAAGGGTGGGTGAGAGGGAGAGGCAGGGAGGGAGGGACGGAGGGGTTGGAGCTAATCATTTGGTTGTAAAATAACCTTTCTATTTGGGTTAAGCCTGTCATCTCCATTGGGAAACTGCTGGCTTTGAGAAGTTGAGAGGGAGGTATGTTGTAGTAAGATGTTGAGGAAGTGGGAAAAGCTAAGCATGCCTTAATCAGGGCTTGTTTATTTCCCAGGCATGCACACGATCGCAGCCCAGCTACTGGGCTCCGGGGCTTGCATCAACGACACCATGTCAGCGGGGCAGACCTTGCTGCACATGGCCATGCAGCGGCAGGATAGCAAGAGTGCACTCTTTCTCCTGGAGCACCAGGCGGACATAAATGTCAGGTGGGCTGGAACAGCACTCCACGCCGCAACACAAGGTCACATTTAATTAAGATGGTTCAAAAGCATAGCATTGCCTGTAGAAAATATTTTTGTTCCTTTTTAAATAAAGGAAGGGAAACAATGACTGAAGAAGTACAAATGCAATGTTGTAACTGAATATAATCGTAGACTCTGGACTCATAGACTCGTGAGATGGAGAAGAGGAATTTTACTTTGCTCTTGTTTGAACCTTTCAAAACCAGTGCACAATATTGCACAAGTCTCATTAAAAAAGACATTCCAAAATCAATTATTTGAGTGGGAATTTCAGTTATAATGAAGAACGTTGCAACAAATAAGCTATCAAAAAAGCTTGAGGAGGGGCCAGCCCAGTGGCATAGTGGTTAAGTTCAGAGCGCTGCACTTTGGTGGCCCAGTGTTCACACATTTGGATCCCGGGCATGGACCTACACCATTCTTCAAGCCATTTTATGGCGGCGTCCCACATACAAAATAGAGGAATATGGGCACAGATGTTAGCCCAGGGCCAATCTTCATCAAGCAAAAAGAGGAAGATTGGCAACAGATGTTAGCTGAGGGCTAATCTTCCTCACCAAAGAAAGAAAAAAAAAAAAGCTCGAGGAAGAAAAAGTACATACAGTTAAATTTTGTTTTTGTATTTTCAAAGGAATTTATCTTTGTCTCCAATGTCAGGTGACCCTGAGTGACTGAGTGGGTGAAAGAAGGGTTCTGTGAAGTGGGTATTTGGGGTGGCATTTTATTAAGATGCTGTTAAAAGCAGCTTATAGACCTGTAAGATTTCAACACGTTGGATGTTGGTCACTTATCTTCTGGGTGCAATAGGATGGCATGGCTATATTTTTTTAAAAGGCAGAAGAGACAGATGCTATTGACAGGTTAAATTTCTTTGAAAGAATATTAATGAATGTGAGTGAAGTGTGTTTGAGGAATACAGTGGATTCTGGCCTCTAGAATGCCCAAAAGGGCATCCTGTGTCATTTGGCTCTAGCTAAAAAAGTTGGTTTTGGTGTGCATGTCCTGGCAGGACCCAGGATGGGGAGACAGCCCTTCAGCTGGCCATCAGAAATCAGCTTCCCCTGGTAGTGGATGCCATATGCACCCGAGGAGCTGACATGTCCGTGCCGGATGAGAAGGGAAACCCTCCACTTTGGCTCGCGTTGGCAAATAATCTGGAGGATATCGCGTCCACGCTGGTGAGAGAAGCTTAACTTTAGCCTCTGTTTATACATGGGGATGTTTTGTGTCAGAGATGGATTTAGTGCCTACATAGCAATCGCAAGGAGCAAGAGATCTGCCAAGTAACAAATTGGGTCAAAGACGAGCAGTTGAAAGTCATGTTAAAGAAACTTGCAGTTTGGGGGGCCAGCCTGGTGGCGCAAGCGGTTAAGTGCGCATGCTCTGCTGCGGTGGCCCAGGGTTCGCTGGTTCGGATCCTGGGCACGTACCGACACGCCGCTTGTCAGGCCATGCTGTGGTGGCATCCCATATAAAGTAGAGGAAGATGGGCATGGATGTTAGCCCAGGGCCAGTCTTCCTCAGCAAAAAAGAGGATCAGCATCAGATGTTAGCTCAGGGCTGGTCTTCTTCACAAGGAAAAATAAAAAAGAAACTTGCAGTTCGGGACCAGCCTGGTGGCGTAGTGGTTGGGTTCACACACACTGCTTCGGCATCCTGGGTTCACAGGTTCAGATCCTGGGCACGGACCTACACAGCGCTCATCAAGCCATGCTGAGGTGGCGTCCCACATACAATATTGAGGAAGATGGGCACAGATGTGAGCTCAGGGACAATCTTCCTCAAGCAAAAAGAAGAAGATTAGCAACAGATACTAGCTCAAGGACAATCTTCCTCACCAGAAAAAAAACAAACTTGCCATTTAACATAGTCTTGGCCAACACTCTTTTTAGGCTGTCTTTATCAATACTATCAATACTTTATCAATACTTTTTGATACTTTATCAAAAAGCAGGAGAGCTGATTTCTTCAGGAGCGTTCTCCTGAGGCAGGTTAATTTCATGTGGGTTGCCCTTGCTATCAACAGAGTGATAAATTCCCAAATCTCAGGTTTGTCTCTCTTGTTCAGAAGACAGGCCTCAGAAGTGGAGGTAACCCTGGAAGTTCTCGTTTAGCTTTCTGAAGGGGCTGAAATGTGACATTAAGACATTTTGTACCTGGGAGTTTTACCCAGTTGTTATTGGAATTACCTGTTAAACACAGGTATGTGTTACTGGGGGCTTATGAGTGTGTGTGTACGCATGCACTTGTGTGTGTTTTCTGTCTTTTCTAGAACACAGCTCTTGAGGGCACTAATTAAACATATCTATCTAATATTTCCCAAACCCATCCCAGAGGACCTAGTGCAAGAACTTGCACAGAAGCAGATTTTAATCAGTGTTTGTAAAACTGAGTGATACAGATTAAAATAACTATCAACTGTATCTTACCTGAAAAATGGATCTAATAATGTGCATAGAGCCCAGAGATGGTAATAAAAATTTTCGCCTTTGCTAGGCAGTGTTTACGAGTAACCTGTGTTTTTCTGCAGGTCAGACATGGTTGCGATGCCACATGCTGGGGTCCAGGACCTAGTGGGTGCCTTCAGACACTCCTGCACAGAGCCATTGATGAAAACAATGAGTCCACTGCTTGCTTTCTTATTCGCAGGTCTGAGAAGCCTAAGTATCTCTTCAAATCTTATTTAGCTTATTGCAAACTGGCTCTTTTCTCATTTAATCCAACTGCAGTCTTGACATGCCTGTATAATTTACTTTCATAGTTAAGACCATCAGAGGGTCACTGTTCTGTCAAGTCAGTCAAGGAACTTGACTCACTTGTGAAGAGAGGGGCTCGTGTGCCCAGATCACAGAGTCTAAAAGCTAAGCCAGCTTCCTGCTTTGGGAACCCTGTAGGCTCCTGTAATCAAATCAGACCAGTTCACACAGTGAAGCCAGGAGACTGGGTTGGAGGAGACCAGATGGCCTCTACAGGGTCCCACCGAGATGTATGAGCCATAACAGGCTCCATGGCCTCTCGAGTGCAGGATGTGTGGGAGGCAAGGTTATTCAGGAAACCTTTAGAACAGTGGTTCTCAAACTTTAAATGCATGCCAATGTCCTGGGGGAGCTTTTAAGAATTTTGATGCCCAGGTTGCCCCCAAGACCAATTGCAGAAGAACCTGTGGGAGTGCGGCCCAGATACCAGTATTTGAGGCCAAAGGCCAAGGAGAGCAATCCTAGGTAGCGGCAGCTTTCCTGTTGGATTGGATGAGGCTGCTGCTGTACGTTTGTCAGCATGCCTTTAGACTAGGTGCAAGCATAGCTCTCAAAGCCTTCCTTTTATTTCCCATTCCCTTTCAGTGGCTGCGATGTGAATAGTCCCAGACAACCCGGTGCTAACGGAGAAGGAGAGGAAGAGGCCAGAGATGGGCAGACCCCCTTGCATTTGGCAGCCTCCTGGGGGCTAGAAGAGACCGTACAGTGTCTTCTGGAGTTCGGTGCCAATGTGAACGCACAGGTATGGAGACTCTCTTTTCCAGGGAGATAGGTGATAACCTCAGAATTAGGGAAATCTCACTTTATCGCAAGGGACCTTGCAGATTCTCCAGTCCTGGCTCTGCATGAAGGTGGATAAGGTACAGACAGATGAAGTGACTCTCTCTGGGTCACACAGCCTGCTCAGTAATTTTAATGATTTCAGTTAAGACTTTTCTTCTTTGTGCCTTTGTCCTTTCTACAGCATGAGGAAGATTTGTCCAATCCACTTTTCTTTGCCTCCTATCCCTGTTAGTTATAGATTTCCTCTGCGAGTTTGTTCTAGTCCCAAGCTGAGTACTGTGTTTAGAAAGATGTTCTAATAGCTCAATTGAGCACCTCTGAGTTCTGTTCCTTGATGCTTTTCAATGTTCTAACCTTTGAAGATTTATATATGCTGCCCTATAGCCAGATAAGGAGTGGTATAACTTAGAGATGAGGTTGACTACACATTTAAACCACATGTGTTTGTGCCCCAGGTCACTGGAGCATGAGGTAATGGGAAGTGGCTTTCAGACATCTCTGACCTCTTTATTTTATTTTATTATTATTATTATTTTTTTAACTTTTTAAATTTTATTTATTTATTTATTTTTCCCCAAAGCCCCAGTAGATAGTTGTACGTCATAGTTGCACATCCTTCTAGTTGCTGTATGTGGGACGCGGCCTCAGCATGGCCGGAGAAGCGGTGCGTCGGTGTGCGCCCGGGATCCGAACCCGGGCCGCCAGCAGCAGAGCACGCGCACTTAACCGCTAAGACACGGGTCCGGCCCTCTGACCTCTTTAAAAGCTGATTTCAAACACAGGGTGGCAGTGTTGATTCTCAGAACTGAATTTGATTTAAAAGTTATCCCCCTTCATATTTTTCCCGAGTTTTATCTTTCATTTGGACTTTGAAATCTGTGTCTTGTTCCCATAGGATGCAGAAGGAAGAACGCCTGTTCATGTGGCCATTAGCAACCAACACAGTGTCATCATTCAGTTGTTGATTTCTCACCCTGATATCCACTTGAATGTACGAGACAGACAAGGGCTAACCCCTTTTGCCTGCGCCATGACTTACAAGAACAACAAGGCAGCTGAGGCCATCCTAAAACGAGAATCTGGGGCTGCTGAGCAGGTGAGTGACCAACACCCAGCACTCTCTGTGGTGCCCTGAACACAGCAGAACCTGATTCATGGAGACTAAACAAATGTCACCAACCAAACAGGTCTCTTCTATATAAAGACATTTGTTTTGAAATTATACTCCCTTTTCTTAAAATTTGGCCATTTAGATGTCTTGTCAGTGCTGGATGAGATTTAATTGCTCTGCCCTATCTGTCAGCCACCTGATGGTACCATATGTAGAAGGAAGCTGGGGTGGCTGGGCCCAGTAATAGGAATTCTGTGGCATGTACAGCTGAGGTCATTCTTTGCTTTTGCTTGGTTGTTTAATTGCCCTAGTGGTGAATGTCTTAAGAAAATTTAAATTGAACTTGAGGAGCTTTTGGTGTGATGTTGGGGCGACTTTCTGAGTGTTTTAGAGGAGGAGTTGTCGTTCAGCTTCGCAGGTTAAGTTGTCCTTATTCTTTGTGGTTCTTTACCAGCTGCTAAATCTGGATGGTGAACTGTTGACCTGCAACAACAGATTGGGTGGGAAAGAACAGTAGCAGCTGGGCTGAGGTGGGAGCTAGGATGGGTTTGTTAAATCAGTCCTACAGACACTTGAATCTCCATCCAGCACTTAGAATACTGCCAAGATTGATGAAAAGCCATTTATGGAGGTAAAGTAGAAACTTGGGACTGGAACAAAATGAAATACTAACATGGTTGAAGACCATTGGTTGATATTTCAGCCTTCTGTAGATCACTTTTCTTCAGCATTTGCATAAGTGTGACTGAATTGTGTAGATGTTAACCTCACCCTTGCTCAGGTAGTTAAAAGGTTCATGAGTGGAGATAGTCATCTCACATTTCCTCTCCATGTAGTATGAAACTGGTTCTGTTGATCAAAGTCCTTTGTAGATAGATTGCTTATGATTCCAGCACATGCTGTGGACGTGTGTGTGTGAGGGAGCGTGGTGTGTGTGTAGCATGTTGGTGTCTCCCTCACTTCTCACTGAGCACTCATACTGCTATGACAGCTCTCGTAACCATCCTCTAATGTGAGCTTTTGTCTGCTTTACGTCAGTGGAGCAAAGTCTACGACATACTGTTGGCTGCCTCCCTCAACATGTACTATTTATTATCCTGTAGCTCAGCAAAAGAGAAAACTTGCTGAAACTTTCTGAAGATTTGTTTGCTCAGGAGTCAGCCTGGTATTGCATGCTGGGTGCTTGTTTTAGCCAAAGCGGGAGACTCCCAAGGCTAGTCTCCACCTTTGCCTTTCTCCACCTTTGCATCCCAGTATTTTGGTGCCTTCCTTTCCCTGTCCCTCAGGTTGTCTCTTTCTTGGCTTTCCAAGTCCAGCTCCTGCAGCAGAAGGGTGTCAGGGCAGCTTGGATCGGTGCAGTGGCTCCCTTTCTCTGACCATGTGAATGTCACCATGCACATGTGGTCATGTGCACAAATATATAGAATGGGTCTGTTAGGCGCCGGTAGGGGGAGCATTTAGTGTTGGTTCTTGGGAGGGAGCTTCCTGGAACAGAGGGAAGGACTATACCACGACCTCTCCAGTGGTCAGCACAGCTTGCAGGTGCTCAGGAGGCACTCTTGCAAGGGAGAGCCCGCTAATACTTCAGTTCCCACTTGTTACTTTAGGTGGATAACAAGGGCCGGAATTTTCTTCACGTGGCAGTCCAGAACTCTGATATTGAAAGTGTCCTGTTCCTGATCAGTGTCCAAGCTAATGTGAATTCCAGAGTCCAGGATGCTTCCAAGTTGACCCCTTTGCACCTTGCGGTCCAAGCAGGCTCAGAGATTATCGTTCGCAATTTGGTAAGTGTCGCCAAAACATTATTGCATGTAACATGTAGGCAAAGCATGTTGTGCAGTGTGTGCGGAATCTCTCATCACAGGTGTTTTGCCAGGTATTGTGAAAGGCCAGCAGGAATTTGGGGAGCTGAGCCAATACAGCATCTCCAGATGCTGGAGAGAAGTTTTGAGAGAAAGCAGGATTTGGATGGCAGAGACAGGTGGGAGCATGAAGGGAAGGGAGATCCACTTCTGTTGTTTGCCTGCTCAGTGTCAGGCATCCAGCTGGTGCTTTCACATGAGCTATCTCTCTTTTTTATTAGTCTTTTTTTAATTGAGGTATAACTGATATATTAGTTTCAGGTCTACAACATATTGATTTGATATTTGCATATATTGCAAAATGCTCACCACAGTAAATCGAGTTAACATCTGTCACCATATATAGAAAAAAATTTTTTTTCTTGTGATGAGGACTTTTAAGATTTACTCTGTTAGCAACTTTCAAATGTACAATACAGTATTGTTAACTGTAGTCACCATGCTGTACATTATACCCCCATGATTTAGTTACTTATTTATTTTATAAATGGAAGTGTGTACCTTTTGACATTTGACCTCCTTCACCATTTCATCCCCTCCGTACCCATCCCCCCACCTCTGGCAACCACCAGTCTGTTCTCTGTATCTATGAGCTTGGTTTTTGTTTGTTTTTTAAATTCCACATATAAGTAAGATCATACAGTATTTATTTGTCTTTCTCTGTCTGACTTATTTCATTTAGCATAATGCCCTCAACGTCCATGCAGGTGGTTTCAAATGGCAAGATTTCCTTCCTTTTCATGGCTGAATAGTATTCCATTTATATGTACCACATCTTTTTTATCCATTCATCTATCAGTGGACATTTAGGTTGTTTCTATATCTTGGCTATTGTAAATAATGCTGCAGTGAACAAGGGGGTGCGTATATCTTTTCAAATGAGTGTTTCCCTTGGGTAGATACCCAGAAGTAGGATTGCTGGATCATATGGTAGTTCTATTTTTAATTTTCGCAGGAACCTCCATACTGTTTTCCATAGTGGCTACACCAATTTACATTCCCACCAACAGTGCACAAGGGTTCCCTTTTCCCCACATCCTTGCCAACACTTGTTATTTCTTGTGTTTTTGATAATAGCCATTCTAGCAAGTATGAGGTGATAGATATCTCATTGTGGTTTTGATTTGCATTTCCCTGATGCTTAGTGATGTTGAGCACTTTTTCGTGTACTTATTGGCCATCTGTATGTTTTCTTTGGAAAAATGTCTATTAAGATCCTCTGCTCGTTTTTAATCAGATTGTTTGGTTTTTTGCTATTGAGTTGTATGAGTTCTTTATATATTTTGGATATTAACCCCTTATCGGATATATGATTTGCAGATTTTTTCTTCCATTCAGTAAGTTGCCTTTTCATTTTGTTGATGGTTTCCTTTGCTCTGCAGAAGCTTTTTAGTTTGTAGTTCCACTTGTTTATTTTTGCTTTTGTTTCCTGTGCTTTTGGAGTCAGATCCAAAATATCATTGCCAAGGCCAGTGTCGGGGAGCTTACCACCTCTTAACTGTCGAAACCACCTGGAGGGGCGTAGGAAACTTTTTACATTTTACAAAGGAGGAAATTTGAGCTTAGAAAGAATTTTCTGGGCCGGCCCCGTGGCTTAGCGGTTAAGTGTACGCACTCTGCTACTGGCGGCACGGGTTCAGATCCCGGGCACGCACCGTCGCACCGCTTCTCCGACCTTGCTGAGGCCACGTCCCACATACAGCAACTAGAAGGATGTGCAGCTATGACATGCAACTATCGACTGGGGCTTTGGGGGCGGGGGGGGGGGGGGGGAAAAAAAAAAAAAAAGAATTTTCTTTTCCTTAAGATTTTATCAGCTAGTCAGTAGTGTAGCTGGGATTTTAGCCATTTCTATTTGACTTCAAAGCCTGCCTTTTCCAGCACAACATAATGCTACCTAGACAGGGGAAGGGTCTGAACAAAGATGTGGAGACTGGAAAGTGCATGTGGTGTGTTTAAGTAGAAAAGTTTGGTTGAAATTTGGGTAGAGAGTAGGAGATGTGGTTGGAGAGGCAGGTAGAGACCAGATTGTGAGTGTCATGTTTCAGACCAAGAACCGTGAGCAGCCTTTATCCTTGCAGCCATGGAGAAACCCTTGTTAAGTGTTTGAACTAAGAGTATGGTCCAGAGCCAAGACCAGGGCTCCGTGTCACCTGGCCGGCGCCTAAGAGCTGGCAGTTGCTGGTGCCTCCCATCAGCCCCAGGTGCATGCTGCAGAACTGGCCACTGGGGCGCTTGACCAGCCTTTGGTGCCCTGCCATTTTTGTTTTTGAAAAATGCTTTTTAGAAAAACCTTTATGACTTGATATGTGTTAGAGCTGAGAGAGCATTTACCTTGGGGGTGGAATATGAGGGTGTGGGGTCGCGAGTGAAGAGGCCTAGGGGAGGCAATGGCAGTGAGAGATGGACTGGAGAATGATTGAGGAGGTGGATCTGATGGACACCAGACACAGACTGGACATGGGGGAAACAGCTAAGGAGGCAGAGGTGGGCCTCAGTGTAGTAGGGAATCAGGCCATGTGTTCATTAATTTGCCTGCCACCCTGAGAGCCTAAGGAGGTTTTACTTATATAAGCAGTGGACATCCTTATATAGTGCAGTGAACACCACTGCCGTCCTGTGTAGTTTTATATACCAAAGTCTTAGAAGTAGAATTTCTGTGTCCTAAGGGACACATTTTTTAACATTTTGATAATTGCCTGTTTGCCCTTGGGACAGGTTTTGCTGGCTTATGCCTCACCAGGAGTGTGTGTGAGGCCCTTATGCTCCCAGCTTTGGCACCAGGGCAGACTCCGTGGATATTAGAAGACAGACAGGCTTGCTCCCTTAAGTGGGACCCTGGTTGGTTGTGGTAGAGAGGCTGCTCATGTAATCAACTTCAACAGCTTCTTGCAGGAGCCAAAGTGAATGAATTAACCAAGCACCGCCAGACCGCCCTCCATCTCGCTGCCCAGCAGGACCTGCCCACCATCTGCTCAGTCCTCTTAGAGAATGGAGTGGACTTTGCTGCTGTGGATGAGAATGGAAATAATGGTAATTACCAGTCATTCCCCTGTGTCCAGTGCGAATGCCTTAAGCAGTCCCTCCATTCTGGGGGTGGAGGTGCACTGAGCCCTTGAATCTTCTTGCCCTCAAGGAGGTTGGCTTTTACAGGGCAGAGCTGTGACAGGAAATGCTCTGAGCAGGGCATCCAGTCTGTCACTGACCAGGCCCTGGGCAGCCTTCCAGTCGGAATGGTAACCCTAAAAGTCTCAAGTGGCTTCTTGTGAAACCATTAAATCTCATCTTTGGATAACTGTGGAAGCAGAAACCAAACTCTTACGAGGTTGCGTTTATGACTTATTCTTGGGGGGTGGTGAAGATGGAAAAGATGGCTCTGTGAGTGGACAGTGGCTGCTCTGGCTAAGTCCCATTTAGAGGGAGGTTTGTGAGGGTAAGGAGGAGTTGAGATTTTCTGCATGTGCTTCTGGGCTGGCACAGTAAGAGGATTTACTCCCCAGCTCTTCATCTCGCTGTCATGCACGGTCGGCTCAACAACATCCGGGTCCTTCTGACAGAGTGCACTGTGGACGCCGAAGCCTTTAATCTGAGGTGAGTGTGTGTGGTCTAGAGCAGAGGCCAGGGCTCCTCAGAGCTGGTGGTCACTGGTGCCTTGCGTTATCCCCAGGTGCACGCTGCAGAACTGGCCACTAGGGCACTTGACCAGCCTTTGGAAGCCTGGAATTTTTCATTTTGTAAAATACTTTTAAAAAAACTTTGATGACCTTTTGTGTGTCCTTTAGATTTATCCAGCATCACAGAGTTCAGAAAATTCCATTTCTTTTGTGCAGGATGGCCGTGGCAGATAGGTACCTAACTTTTCCAACTTGTTTTATCAGAGGCCAGTCGCCACTACACATTTTGGGACAATATGGCAAAGAGAACGCAGCAGCCATCTTTGATCTCTTCTTAGAGTGCATGCCTGAGTATCCTCTAGATAAACCAGATGCAGAAGGAAACACAGGTATGTAATAAGGTGTTTGTATGTCCTCTCTTACTTGTATTCTTTGCTTCCTGGAAAAACAAGAGCACAGACACACATGTCATTATTTAAGGGCATTCAGCCCAGTGCATTTCGGCTGGGCTCTGTGAGCATCTGTCACAGATCCCTGCTGTGGAATGTGGCAGTGTCTGATTTTAGGCACAAGCACATCTGAAGTGTATCTGGTGCTCCAAAGCCATACCTGTGTCCAAACAAGCCTGCCCTCCTGTTTTTATTGCTTTCATCTGCCTCTTGTCCAGTCAGCTAGGGCCCTACCCAAGCTCCCAAATCCTGGGAGAGAGATAAACTGTAACCACCTCACAGATGCTTCAAAGGCGGATATGTGTTACAGTATGTGTTAACGTGCTTTGAAAAAGTGGCAAGTTATACAGTCATGCAACACATAACAACGTTTCAGTTAATGACAGACCACATATGTGACGGTGGTCCCATAAGATCAGTACTGTACAGCCTGGGTGTGTAGCAGGCTAGACCATCTACTGCCATCTACTACGTTGTTCACACAACAAAATCGCCTAACGACACATTTCTCAGAATGTGTCCCCATCATTAAGTGATGCATGTCTGTATACAGATAAGGGCTGACGTCTTATTGAGGGGGATTAATATATAGGCCTCTCATGGTGTTACTGTAGCTACCCACAATCACTATGTTAATTTGGGTAGCTTTGATAGTTTTTTTGATATACTTTTTATTTAATACTCACACAACCCTATAAGGTAAGCAGTGCATATAGTGTGTCCCCATTTTTCAAGTAAGGAAACAAAGATGAAACCCAGATCTCTTTCTTCCCAGCCCAGGGCTCTCTGAGCACTTTGCTGCTGCAGTAGTCCCGTTCATTCACCCTCACGCCAGGCAGACCCTCCATGGCCTTTAGCAGAAATGCAGCCACCAAGGGGTGTCCTGAACCTTAGCATGGGACCAAATATTTTGTCATCAGTTCTTGGCCTTGGGAAGAGTTCTTGATATATGAACGTGTTTTTTAAGCCAGCAGTGATGAGCCTGAGCTTCAGAGGAGTCAGCCCTGGGAGTGAGCTGCTGGACCCAGCACATACTCCAGTGAGCACCATTGTCCAGGAGCAGGTAAACAGGCAGGCAGGCAGGTGCTTCACCACAGGCTTCTGAATCACTTGGACCTGGTTTCAAATACCTAGCTCTGTCAAAGTCTAGCGGGGTGACTCTGGGTAAATTTTGTAACCTTTCTATGCCTGTTTTCTTATTTGAAATAATAACCCTCATCTTACTGGATCATTTAAAGAATTAGATGAAAGAATTTAAATAAAGTGTCTGGTAAAGGTAAGCAAAGGGGAGCCGCTATTAGCTGTAATGTTAGTAGCGAGGGCCAGTAGGATGGCCTGGCCAGAGCCTGGGTTCCCACTGGGCCTGCACCTGCACAGAAGAGAGGCTTCATGGGGCAGAAGAACTTTCTGGAGCATGTTGCCCACTCTGATTTTTTTTCTCCGTGTGTACATACTTCACAGATCTTTAGATTTAGTTACGTTGTGTAAAAAGAGCTTTGTCCTCCCAGTGTTGCATGCCAGAGGAAGGCAACTGAGACGATGTTATTTTCCCTTCAGTGTCTGATCCCTCCTCAGTTCTCTTGTAGCCAAAGCTCTGAATGGGCAAGAATATGTCTCTGGAGCTGGAGCTGCTCTGGAGTCCCCTGGCTCGTGGCCGGGTCCTTGACTGGAAGATGCTGCAGATCCTCTGGGGAGGTCTCACCAGAGCCACAGGGCCTCTATTTGTCGGTGGGGACTCTCCTAACAAATGTCTTGCCAGCGGTCTGTCCTGCCCTCAGCTGTCCTCTACCAACCCTTTGGCAGTGCCAGGCTGGGCCCGAGAGGGAAGTAGCCCTGCCTGTGGTTTTGTTTTCCAGTGCTGCTCTTAGCATACATGAAAGGGAATGCCAACTTGTGCCGTGCCATCGTCCGGTCTGGGGCTCGCCTTGGGGTGAACAATAACCAAGGAGTCAACATTTTCAACTATCAGGTTGCCACCAAGCAACTTCTATTTAGACTGTTAGGTGAGTGGCTCACTTTCTGCTGTTTCAGTGCATGCACAGTTATAATGTTGATTATCTAGATGTATTAATGATTTTTAAATCTCATAATGACTTGCTCCAAGATCTGAACCAGTAGTTTTCCAGACACCATATAGGACTTTTTCTGTGAATGCCATGAAGGGCCTTTGAGCAATGGTGGGAAGGTCACTGTTGGCAGTCTCTTTTCAGAGTGCTCCCCCCTTGCGGCCCCCATTGGTTTCCCACATCCCCTGATCCTACCAGAAATCCATAAGCTCCAGGCGGGTCACCCTTACCATGGCTCCTGGCTGCTTTTCTGCACACCCTTGTTCTTCAGTTGATTCAGATTCTCTGCATCCTTCAGAATGGCCTTCTGCTTCAGCCCCCATTGACTCTTCCTCCTCTGTGTTCCTTTTGTGGAGAGGAGAGCTTCACTCTTGATGATTTCATATTTGCAAGTTTTTACTTGTCCCTGTTGAGGTGGCAGAAAGAATCAGAATTCCTCAAGTGCCTACATGTCACTGTGCTGTCATCACCCACAGTGGAGACAGACAGGGGTTGTTAGCCCCATGGTAAGGGCAGAGAAACAAGCTCAGAGATACTTAGTAACTATGTGGTCTTGATGTAGGTGACTTGCCCAAGGTCACAAAGCTGGTTTGTAGCAGAGCCAGTGCTAAAGCACAGTATTTCTGTGCTATCTCGTCTACTATTTGCAAATAGTTGGCCTTTTAAGAGCTCAGAATAGTGGGGCTCTGGCCCTGTGGCGTAGTGGTTAAGTTTGGCACGCTCCACTTTGGCGGCCTGGGTTCACAGGTTCAGATCCCAGGCGTGGACCTACACCACTCCTCAGCCACGCTGGGGTGGCAACCCACATACAAAGTAGAGGAAGACTGGCACAGATGTTAGCTCAGGGCTAATCTTCCTCACCAAAAACAAAGAGCTCAGAATAGGAGCCCATCACAGTGCTGGTATGTAGCTGCTTGGTAATGACTGACTCACGTGCTGCTTCCTCACTGTGAGCTCAGTCTGCGTCTGTGTATAGAGCATTCAGAACAGTGCATGGCGTATAGTTTAGCGTTTCCTAAATAAAACTAGTGATTCTTGCTATTATCTACACTGATAACTCCCAACCTAAAATGTCCCACAGCTTCCGGAAACTCAAAACTGAACTCTTCATCTGCTCTAGTTGTTTCTCATGTCTTTTCTCTGCCGGTGGTCCCACCACAGACTCAGTCATTCCATCTAGAAACCTGGGAATCACCTTTGTCTGCTTTCTGCCCCCTGCCTCCGTCTCCCATCCCCCACTTCTGTTCAGTCACCAAATCTCAGATTCTGCCTCCTCACTTGCTCTTGTCTTGGTCCCCTCCTCCCTGTCGCCCTTACCATTTGGCCCTGCCAGTCTTTCTAGCTGTTGGTCTCTGCTCTCTCCCCGCCGTTCCTTACACTCCAGCCATCCCTAACTGTGTGTATTTCCTCCTCAGACACTGTGCTGTCTCACTACCTGGGACACTCTTTTCTTCTCCCCCATCTGCCTGGCAGATGCTGGTTCTCCATATTCTCCTCTGTGACGCTTTCCCTGACCCAGTTAGAATCTATTGCTCCTTCTTCCCTCATGTCACTCTGTGACATTTCACATGGTGAAGGAGGTCAAATGTCTGCTTTATTTACTGGTCTGTTTCCCTGCTCCCTCGAAGCTCTGAGTCTTGCCTGGCACAGTCACTGTCTGACAGGAACTAGTCTTCTCCTGTTTGTGTTACAGATATGCTGTCCAAGGAGCCTCCGTGGTGTGACGGCTCCAACTGCTACGAGTGCACTGCCAAGTTTGGAGTCACAACTCGCAAACATCATTGGTAAGACCCCCCCAACGACACTAATCAGAGGAGTGAGGGGACTTCCGCTGATGTCATTGCTTCCACCTTTTTCCGTGATAAGCCAGGAACTTGCCAAGGCCCTGCACTCTCCTGAGTAAAACCTGACAAATGGAGTGAGGAGATGACAGGACTGTGCACACCTTTACTGATGTAGGGAGGGCAGAGGGCACTCAGACTGGTGGCTTTCCGGCTGAATGTTGGGGTCACAGGTCCTAGGCAGCCTGTCAGGCCTTGGGTCATCTTCCCCAGGCTTCCTGCGTGTGGCAAAACTGAGCTGAGTTCCCTCCCTCAGAGGAAGTGTGCCTCTAGCCTGAGCACGGCTGCTCCACAGAGAACTGAGTTGTTGTTCCCATTAAAATGAGACAGTTCTATGGCTACTGCTGAGCTCCTCTTGATCTTTAAAGAAAGAGCCTTCTGCAGTATCACTTTAACTTAATTATTGGCTAGAATTTTGTTTTCATGGACTATAAATTATACATGCATTGGAGTAACTTGGCTGGCAAGGGGCAGAGCTGACCACAGAGTTCTGCTCGTGGGCTTGCCTTGTCTGCCAAGGGCGCTGCTGTGGCTGTCCTCAAGCACTGGAAGCAGTCCGCTCTTTAGCACCACTCTCACGCTTCCTTTCTTTGCTTCCACAGTCGTCACTGCGGACGTCTTCTTTGCCATAAATGCTCGACCAAGGAGATTCCTATTATAAAGTTTGATCTGAACAAGCCTGTGCGAGTTTGCAACATTTGCTTTGATGTACTGACTTTGGGTGGGGTCTCTTAGTGAGCCCACAGGAGGGTCCAGGCCACGTCTCCAGTCACCTCCCCAGCAGCTGCTCTGCTCACCAGCCTGACCCCACCCAGAGCAGGAGCTGGCATTCGTCTTCCTGCAGCAATAGACTGGAACAGTTAAGGACCATGGTGTGACAGATGCCATTTCAAATGATTCTGTATGATTGTCAGCGTGTCGGACTGTGATTGAGTTCATTAGATGTCTCACTAATTGGACCAGGCCATTTAGCCTAAGTTGTAAATGTAATAGGAATTAAACCGCATTCTGCTAGCAACATAGAAGGACACTTCGAAAACCATTTTCCCTTCCAGTAGCTTAGTGTCCATCTCAGAGCATTCATGAAGTCTTCCTGCCTGGGCGGACTTACTAGGCAGAACCTAACAGTAGGAAGCTGGCGTCTGGCTGCTCCATGAGAGCTGGCTTTGCTCTAGGGTAAGTGGCTATGGACTTCTGCACAGTGTTTTCATAAAGATGATAGGATCCTCTTGCCCTGAAGTCTTTTTTTTTTGAAAAGCTAAGCTGTATTTTTAGTGAGCTACCCCTTTAAAAAAGGTGAAATCTTTCTAAACAGGGTTCAAAGATGAGAGCTAAAAAATCGTGGCCTTAACAACTGAAAGCTTTACCAGTATTCATGCTCCTCAGGTGTCAGGGGTGCAGTCTGGCAGCTTGACACCTCCCAGCAGCCATCTCATTCTCTCATCTAGCTGTGTCCCGTCTGTGGAGTCCTCGGTCCCTCTGCCACTAGGGAGTGGTGGAGGAAATGCACTTTGATTGTGCTGCACTTTTTATATAGCTGCATTATTGGTGATTCCAATTTAAAAATCCATATTCAAAAATATCCTCACACATCCATGCATCAATGATTCTAATGATCAGCTTGGACTGGGCCTGACCTCACACGAAGTCTTAAAAGAAAAACCCCTGCAGAGTGTCACTTGGAGCAAGAGAGTCACACAGGCCAAGTGATGAGAAGGGGAATCCCAGCCTCAGGCTGTGCCATCTCCTTGACATGAGTGCTTCTTGCTGGACCCTTCCCTAGTTATGCTGTGAGTGCTGTTGGTCCCTGGTCCCAGGTCTGTATAGCTTGCCCTGCCCCATAAGAGCCAACAGCCAAAGGCCCTGGCCAAGCGTGTGTGACCCTGTTTTGGAAGGCTCTGGCTTGTGTGCTGAATGAGGCCCCCACAGCTTATTGGGCCATAGTCGCTGCTAGTATATAGCTTAACCCTGAGGTGTTAAACTTTTCTTTTGAAGGTTTGGCCAGTTTTTTAAAAATGCACATTTAAAGAGAAACTTCTACCACTGCCTTGGAAAAAAAAAAAAAACTCTGAGATGAGCAACATGTGTGTACAGTTATACTCGGAGATTAACAGTCTCAATCATACATGCTGATTTTTTTCAGACATTTAATAACCACTACATTTTATTTGCATTAATGAAATATGGATACATGTGTAAAAGGGACTAAATATTTTTTTGCAAGAGCCTGTTTTTTTGTTTGTTTCTTTTGGATAGTGGTATGTCCTCTACGTTGCTGTAGATTTATACATTCTGTTGCCTAAATGTGTGTGTAAAATGAGCTGATAAACCAGAGTGCTACTTTTTTTTAATATTTCTGTGATTTATAAGATATATATGCTTCCCATGTTAATATGAGCTTGTGTACAGTGTTCAAAAGAAAAAATTAATTAGAAGAGTTGCCTTGTCCTCTAAAGTCTGTGACGTATTTCATATAGAATTTTTATAGAAAAACAACTAGTCTTGGCAAACACTTGACCATGTAAGGCATGTGGTCAGTTTCCATTTTCTGTTGCCTGAACAGGGCCACGAGGAAGTAGGGCTTTAGTTAGGTGGCTTGATTCTTTAATTGGAAAGTAAGATAATATGCTTCAGATATGAATTGAGGTGGTTGGTACTTTTATACTTGTTCTTTTAACATTCATGGTGGAGAGAGGAGGACGGGAAATCAATCAAGTGTGAGGCTGACTGTCCTGCCCCTGCCCTGCCATACCAATTTCAATAACAGTCTTGCCTCTAATTGCACTTAAAATCATGTTTAAAATATGTTGAGTCAAGCTTCTCTTTCTTCAGAATCCAGGGATAGCTATGGTACTGAGCAGCCATGGATTGGGGGAACATTTTGTGAGTTCTGCATTGGCTTCAGGGTGTGTTCTTGTAGATCTAGAGAAAGCACCTTTCCACAGTCTTAGGAAATCTCCCTGCCCATGCTGATGCTTACTGGGCTGCACTCAGCAGGTTCCTTGAGTGGTGGCTACCGGGTGGGACTTCACAAGCTCTCAGTCCCCTTTGTGTTCTCCAAGCTGTCAGACTTGACTACAGAACTGCCTAGCTGTTCTTGTTAAATTTTAATCCATAGCTTAAATACTAGTAGCAAAACTTCAATTTTATTCATTCAGAAAGTTGCCAGTTGTGAATGAGTAGAGCAGGAAGAATAAATTTTACTGAAATATAATTTGCTGTATCAGTCAGCATTGTTACGCTGAATTAGCTTTTTAACTGCCTCTTGCTCATCACCATATTTATTATACAGTATATTCTTAACAGTCTTTGTTTTAAAGAGGAAGGTACAAACCATGTGCTATATGTAAATCGAATGGCTAAAAGTAACTTGCTATGATCCTCTAACAGGAATTTCCCACAAACGTAAGTGCCTACACTTAGGACTTTTTAACTTTCAGTTATCTTCTTAGTGATGTCTCACTGAACGATGTGTTAGAACATGTGTTCCATTTGGAGTTTGTTGCCTGTGCACTGTCAACCCCAATTGCCAATTTAGTCGTGGCTGGATTAGACTGCTCAGTTCACCTGCCATATTCTCTCCAGGAGTGGGGTCCATGTGACCGTCAGTCCTCTACCTCAGAGCCCTGAGTCACTTCTGACTGCCCTATTCAGCTTCCTCACTCTTCTCCCTGAATGGGGTCCCTGCATGGAGCTTGGCATGCTTGTGGGTTCACCACCACTCCCAAGTCATGTCCCCCACCTCTTGTATTGAATGGTATTGTGTTAATCTTGTCCGTAGGCATGAAGTGGAGGGAAAGTCTTAGGAGCGGGAGAGCCTTGATTTCTATCTAGGATTCTTTTATCTGGAGAAAAAGAACACTATTGAACTATGTAATGCTTAGACCTGAGAGGCAAACTAACTCCCCAGGTGACAGTAGCATGAGCGAGTAAATGTAACGCTTCCATGACAGATTCACCTGGAGCTTGCAGGTTTGAGCCTGGGAGAGAGCTCCTGAAACAAGCTTTCTTCAGGACCTGGGGTTGCATCCCTCAGGACAAGCCCCAGAAGAACTGGGCATGGGGTTCGCTAGCCCAGCCCCCCCTAATCTGAAGCACCAAAGCTCCCCACCCCCACCCGGGGAGAGGAGGAAGCAGAGGGCAAACAACTTCCTAAAGGATTTTGGAAGCCACATTCTCATTTTATGGAAGTACTCTAGTGAAAAGCTGATTGTTTTACAAGATACTAAACACTTATTAAATTCCCGGAAGTTATCATAGATGCCTTAAAGACTTTCTTTGGAAGATCATTGCCTGTACAGTTCCTTTTTTGTGTGGCATAAATAATATATTAACCTGTTACAACTGATGACAACATTGGTTTTCTGTAGCTAGGGAATCTTGATTTGGCAGACTATTTGACTTAATGACTTGTCCTTTTTTGGCAAATGTGTGGAGTTGGCTGTTACCGTGACATACTTATGTGACACCCAGGGGAAGAGCAGCAGCTGGGCAGGAACTGCAGGCACACATTTTGAGTTGATCACCTTGGCTTCCAAGCCACTGTGGGTGATGCTCAGTGTGGGACAATGGCATCAGATAGGACCATGGCGCTTATCCGCATTGTTTCTTTGGAGTCCATGTAATGGAATGTATTTTTCAAATACTGATATTTGCATTTTCTGTAACAATTCCTTATAATAAAATGAGGTAAAATTGTGCATTTAGAGTGGAAACTTTAATAAGACATTTGTAGTTACTTTTAATGCAGAAGTACCAATAAGCATTAAAAACAAACAAGCAAATTTTTAAAACTCCTGACCTGTGAATAAATTTCTTTAACAGCTACCTTCTAGGAAAGTTTGACTTTCCAACACTTTTCGGAAACACGTTGACAGCAGTCAAAAAGTAGCTCTTTTAGGCACAATGACCAGCTGCCCGGATTTACTGTGCTCTTGGCCCAGATTCCAGCTCATGGCAATGCGTATGATCACAGCTGCACAGTCTCAGTCACTGGACCCCACAGAAGCTCTCCAACAGACCCTGGAAATTCCCTCTCGGACTCCATTATTAAGGAGCAACTCAAGAGGATCCGCCCGGGGCGGGTTTCTGCTGGCTGCAGTCTGAAGGGAGGACTGGCACTGTGGGTGTCAGAGAAGACTAAGGAAGGTTTCAGGGGCTTGCAAATGAAAATCTGGTGGTCCATAAAGCCCCTGTACAAATCGTGCAAATCTAGTAGTTCACCTGGCCCTCACACTCTTGAACTAACAAACATATTCCCTTTCTTTACCTATCTTCCATTTTGCTTACCCCCAGTTCAGACCAGCTGTGGTGATAGAGCCCACTCTCTGGTGGCTTTTCTCATAATTAATAGGCACTGTTCAGTGCTTCGACGTAACAATCCCAAGTAGTCCTAATAGCCGTCCTTGAGGTGAACACTGGTCATAATATGTCATAATATTGTGAGTACAAACAGGAACCAGGAATGCACCAACTCACATTTTTGCCCAGCCAGGGAAGAGCACTTGGGTTTAGTTCTGTCTTGTCATTGATTAACTGACAGTATTGGGCAAGTTTCATAATTTCTGTGCCTTAGTTTCTATATCTATAAATGGGAGTGACCATGGTCCTTCCTAGCTCACAGGGTTGCCTTAAGGAAGGTGATCAGTAATATGTCCTTACTCTCATGCAAGTACACAGATTCTGATGTGCATGCCAAGAGCCCCTTCCTGAGGGCTAATGGGGGCAATGTCTGCTGCCTACTTGCAGGAATCTGGGGACTTTGGCAGTAGGAAGTACTCTCAAGGGTAGGGGTTCAGCCCAGGGTCATCCTCCTCTGAGGGGCACCACAGATTTCTGAACGAACAGATACATCTCCAAGCTGTCCATAGGGTCTATCTTTCAGATCATAGCTTGTCCTGGAGCTAAGCAAGCAAGGGATGGGGGTGATGGTCTGATATGGCTCCCTTTGCTATCCAGCCATGTGGTGGCTGAGCTGTGACCAAAAAATCCCGGGCTCTTCACTTTTAGTTCTGTGTTTATAGAAAACTGAAATCTCAGAATGAAAAGGCAGATGTTACAGTTTCCTTCAGCATGTTGGAGAGCAGCTGCCCGGCCTTTGCTTTAACACTGCACACTACTATGTAGGGCAGAGCAGACTTGGGATCCAAGCTCAGCTCTGTCGTACAGTGTCTGTTGTAACCATTAGAAGATGTGGAGGAGGATGTTTAGGCCCCCATTCTGGACCATAAAATGAGACTCTCTCAAGACTGGCATAGAGGTTAAACGAGAAGAGATAAAGCTCCTGCCCAGCATTGTTGCCCAACACATAGTAGTTTTCTTCATTTCCCCCTGCCAGCAAGTTCTAACTATCCCAGCTGAACTTTCTGTGACTTCCATCAGAGAAGAACTGCTTTCTTCCTCCATAGTTATGCCCAGAGCCACCTATACTCGAGGGAGAAAGAAGAGGTTTTTCTCCAGGAACCACTAGCTTCTCATGGCTGAGCCCTTCAGACCATTAAAATGACCATGAAACCTATTCTTGCTGAATCCTTTGAAGATTCACCCACTGCCCTGACATGAGGAGACTCTTTACTATAAAGTAAGAGGTTGGCATCAAAGAGGAGATGAATTCTCATTAAACAAGGCAGTGAGCAACCTGCTGGGGCTGGCTGGGTGTGTCCTACAGTATGCCCTGGAGTTCAGGGGTCTCACATCAGTGAGAGATTAGGTACCTCTAGGTGCCTCCCAAGTCCATACTTGGCTGGGGTAACTCTTAAGTGTGCCTTGTTTTGTTCCTTTTCTTTTTCAGTTTGTTTTTGGAAAGGTCTGAACATCTCTGGACCTGGCCTCCACTCTACCCCGGGAATGGCCTCTGGGTGCTCTAACCAGGGCTTTCCTCTGCCATACTGTAAGCTCCTTGAGGTCCAGAGCCTCACCTTCCTCCCATCCCCTGCCCCATGGCACACGGGTGCTTGCTAAATATTTGTTGAATGACTAAGGAGGACCAGAGCAGTGGCAGTGACTGGTTCCCAGTTAGCTTGGAGTTGAGGGCTGCTTCCAGTTTCAGGGAAGCCTCAGGCGCTGAGTTAGGGGCTGAGTGGAGCTCGGAAGAAGGTCCTCATTTCTGCTCTCTTTCTCTTTGCTCCTGCCCGAGGGAGGGCAGAGACACACTGAACTATGGGGGAGTTGACATAGCCCTGGGTCAGGACAAGAAACTCGGGCTCGAGGCTCAGCTCCATTGCTTTGTGTTCTTCTTTGGGCCTTGGTTGCCTCATCTCCAAAATAAGAGCTAACTCTGCACACTTACCATGTGCCAGGTACAGTGGATATGGGGGTACAAAGCTGAGTACCCCTTGGTCCCTGTCCTCAGTCTGCAGTCCAGTGCAAGACGCTGACAGGAAATTCGTGGTTACAAAACACTGATCTTTGTTATTTTAGAAAGTGAACACGGTGTTAAGGAAGCCAAGGGGAAAGTGCATCTGTATCCAACTGGCAGACCGGTGGTTAATGAAGGCTCCCAAGAGGTGCTGATTGGGCTGAGTTCTGAAGAGATAAGAGGTGGACACATTGGGTGGAGGAAGAGGTGCCCTTCCAGGCAGAAGGGACAGCCTGGCTGAAGGCATTGTAGGCATAATTATGCAGCGAGAAGACGGCGCATGTGGGAGCTGGTGGAAGAGATACAGACGCTAAGAGGAGATGGAGCATAGAAGGGTCTTGTGTGCCACGCTGCTGAAGAGTTAGCACTTGACCCTTATAGATATGGGGAGCCACTGAAGAGGTTTAAATGGGGAATGCCCTGATCATCAAGAAAGCAGCAGTGTGGAGGATGGACTGGAAGGAGGGAGCGCAGTTCGATTCCTGCAGTAATCTGGGTGAGAAATGACAGCCTAAACCAGAGGAGGAGTACTGGGAATAGACAAGAGGGAATGGCAAGGAGAGAACTGAGGAGGTAGAACTGCCAGGACTTGGAGATTGGATGGGAGGAGGGGAACACGAGAGGAAGGAGTTGTGGATGACTGCCAGGATTCTTACTTGGTGTGACTGGGTGTAGACAGTGATGGCGGAACCATCAGCAGGGGAACTAGAAGAATCACGAGGGAGAAGATGAAGATAGAATGCCAGAAATGTAGAGCTTCAGGTGCCCACAGAAATGCCCAGGAAAACCGCCTGGACTGGATACAGATTTGGCAGTCTTAAGTGGCAGCTGAAGTAGGAGTGAGAAGAGCTAGTGGGAAGGAGTTCAAGGAGGAGAGGAGGCTTTCAAGGAGACTGAGAAGGAATGGCCTGAGGGAAAAAAGGGAAACCAGGGAAAAGCTGAAGGAGGGTTTTATGGAGGCCCTCAAATGTGACAGGCCCAGGTAGGTAATAACTGAATGTGGCCATGGGATTTGCCAATACAGAATTTATCCTGCTGTTGAGCAGAGAAGGGCAGATGCCAGGCGACTGTGTTGCACAATAAATGGGGGCTGAGGAGCCAAGATAGTGAGTACACACAGCGTTTTCAGAAAACTTAGCTGTGACAGGAAGTAGACACGGTGCTCCAGAAGACTGCGGTGTTGAGGGAGAGCGTGTCTTTATGATGTGAGGGAAGTGAGCTGTTTAATGCTTACGTCGGGGGAAGCGGGGGGCAGGGAGAGGTCAAAGGTATAAGAAGGGCAGATGAGGAAGATCCTGGGGTGGCAAAAGGCGTCAAGAGCAGAGTCAAGGTGTAAGGAACAGCTGTGGCCACGGGGCAGTGAGCTACGAGTCTTGCAAGTGAAGGAGAGGCAGCCTCCATTTCCCAGTCAGTCTGGAAAGCTATCTAGTGAGATGAATGATAAAGGAGAGAAAAAAAGAGAGAAAGGAAGAAGGATAGACAATGTTTAGAATAAGAGTTGAGGGGATTGGGAAAAGGAGTTGAGGTGAAGGCTCAGATGAGGAAAGACCATGAACCTGTAACAGCTCCAGTCTTCATTTCCTTATCTGTAAAGTAGGAACACTCCTTGCCCTCCAAATAGTTAAGAATCCAAGAGGTGATGGGTATGCAGTTTGTCCAGTGTAGGAGATTACAGGTGACCTTGGACATGGGATGCACTGGAAATGTTGCAAGCCCAGCACCCTTAAGCCGAGGCTGTTTGTACTGACATTTGCAGCCTTGCCCAAACTTCGATGTTGCATTAACCAGTTATCTTGTTAGAGCTGTGAAACTACCTTTCACTCAAAATGCAGACTTCTCTCTCTGAAAACACACCACACCCCATTTTAAGTGTTTAAAAGAGAAATAATATCCTTGCTTTAAATTGTTGCTTTGTTCAGAGGCATCTGGATTTGCTGGATCCATGTAAGCAAAAGCTTTTCCATTTCCAGAATTAGCCTCTCCTATTTATCGTCACCTCTCACTCTGTCGGCCCAACAACTCAGTGTGGCTTTTGGTTGTAGATTCAAGTTCGCCTTAGGGTTGAGGTCTTACATATAAGAAAGGTTGTAAAAGTCAAGGGTCACAAGTTTAGCGAGTAGGGAACGTGGAACAGAGTTCTGTTGATGCTGTTAATTTATACGGCTTTTGTTTCTGAGTTGTAAAGGGACATGTCCCTCAAGGGCCAGTGCCCTTGATGCCCTGACCAGATTGGGAGGTGATCCAGGCAGCCTGGGAGTCTGTGGGAATGAAGCTGTCAGAGCTCAGAGCCCTTTTGCTTGTCTGCCCAGTTAGTTTTGAGTTGGTCATATTTGTGCCCTTTAATATCTGAGGGCTCTGAAGAAGGATGGCAAGTGGATCTAGGGGAATAGTGACAAAAACAGGCTGACCAGTACTAGGCAGGTTGCCAAGCTCTGGCCTCAGTCACAGAATGGTAAGCCCATGGTGAGGGGGCATTAGCCACATTTGCAGAGTATGGCCAGAGTCCCACCAGGCTCTCGTTTTATGTCAGGAGCCATCCTAGGGCACATGAGTCAAGGGCCTCTTAGGGTTCTAGGCAGGGTTCTCTGTGTGTTATCAACATATAAGGCATCAGGGGCCGGCCCGGTGGCGCAGCGGTTAAGTTCGCGCCCTCTGCTTCGGCAGCCTGGGGTTCGGATCCTGGGTGCGGCGGACCGACTCACCACTTGTCAAGCCATGCTGTGGCGGCGTCCCATATAAAGTATAGGAAGATGGGCACAGATGTTAGCCTAGGGCTTATCTTTCTCAGCAAAAAGAGGAGGACTGGCATCGGATGTTAGCTCACGGCTAGTCTTCCTCACACACACAAAAAACATATAGGGCATCAGCTTAGAGTGGGAAGGAGCATGTGATGGCTAGGGGTGGGCAGCCTGTGTATTCTCCCAAGTTGGGGTGGTCCAAGTCCCCACGATTTCTGTGTGTAGGGTTGTCCATTGTCTGGTCACTAGGGGGGCCAGTTGTTCTCACACACACGCAGCGGGGTTCCTTGGCACCTGGCCTATACAGCTTCCTGGGGACGCCAATCCAGTCTCTGCTCACACCTCCACTAAGGATAGAAGGAAAGAGGACTTCTTATAAGCATGAACTCATGAGTCTTTCTGGGAAGGTGAGGGGAGGAAGCAGTGAGCTAGGCCTTGTGAAAAGTAGAAGCCACTCCACTTCCCATCTTGGCATTTTCCCAAGGCAGTGGTCTGCAGGGCTCAGCCCCCGAACCTTCACCCTGTCTCCTAACTTCCTCTGGCCTCGCCTGCCGAGGCGGAGTCCATCGTCCTTTCACTGTGCTCCCCTGGCCCATGCCCTGTGCCCTCCTAGGAGGCAGCACCACTTCCCTGCATTGGTGATAACACCTGTGAAAGGCTTTCCCCCACTGGCCTGTGAGCTTCTCAAAAGCAGTGTCTGGGTCTGATTCTCTTTTCCCTTCCCCACTACGTCCCCATGCAGGGTTGCATCTTGATCTTGGGGTCTGGGACACTTGGGTGGGGTGGGAAACCGAGGCAACAACCCAAGGCCCGATGGGTCAGCCTTCTCTGAGAGGCCCTTGGCACAGGGGTAGTTGCAGCTGTCCTTTCCCTTGCGCAAGCCCAGTCCTTGATGTTGCCAGGCTTCAGAGATGGAGGGTCAAGCTCTGGCCCACCATAGCCTGAGCAACCTCCTATCCTGGGCAGGGTCGTCACTCATCTTAGGGTACTGAGTTCAGTCTCCCATGGACTCACAGGCCTTGCAAAAGGAAAATGAGACTCTTGGAATTGATGCCCCATATGGGGGCAGAGAAACTCTGCCACCCAGTTAGAAACCTTCCCACTTGTAGCTTTCCCAAGAATAAGGCTGTCAGGGCACTGAAATGCCTCCCTCCCTCCCTCCTTCCAGCCATCCATCCCATTATCAGTGATCCTTGCTCCACACCCAGTCTTAGGACTCGTTTCTCCCACTCTAAAAGGAGATACGTACATGTGAGTAGAACACAGCGAACTGGGCGGAGGTACAGAGATAGGGCCAAACTCACTGGGTGGGTCTGGAAGAGCTCTGTGGGGAAGGCCCAGCCCAAACAACTCAGTCATGAAAGCAAGAAGGAGTTACAAAGACAGGTTTGAGAGGCAGGGAGTTGAGCTGTGGGTAAGGGAGGGGGAGGCAGGCTCTCCAAGGGAGCCAAGTCAAGCATCCAAAGGCACACAGGCCTCTAGGTACCCTCCTATGGAGGACCAGTGCTCTCTGAGGTCACCTGCATTCAGCCTTGTGTCCCAGCAACGCCCACCTTTGTCCTAGCTCCTCCCCCTGAAGTAGGCAAGCCTGGTTATCATAACCCCTTCTTTCTGGAAACACAACGACACTGGACAAGCTGTGTCTCTTCAAAATTTGGGGCCAGGAGAGAAGGGGCTTTCCTTCCAGCCACCTTTGCCCCTGTTACCCTGAATTGAGGCAGAGGACATGTGATGGATACAGTGGCCAGGCCTAGAGAAAGCTGGCGGCTTTGGCTGTTTGCTGGCCTCTCCCTTCAGAAGATGGTGGGTCTACACAGCTTAGCCTTAGGGGAGTGGCCCTTTTCCTGTTAGTTACAGCAGGTTTTCCTGCCCCTCTCAGTGAGAGCTGGGCTCTTACTTTGAGGCCCTTGAGGCTGGGTGGATGGGGGGTTGTCCAGCTTCTGGCTTCTTTTTTGCCCTTACCAGAGCTAAAGGAGATTTGAGGGACTTGAGCTGCATTTGAGTCCAGGCTGGCCTGATGATTAAAGCAGGAAAAACATTTTTTTCTCCAGCTTCCCCAAACCAACCTGGAATAAGCCCTGTGGCATCTGTTCTAATCTGGCTCACCTCACCTTATTCCTACAGGGAAGGACTTCTCCATCTAGCCCGAACTTCCTGGAATTACTCAGGACATGCAGTGTTTCTAGGACAGCACCCCAGACCATCACTGCATGTGCCCTTCCCACCTCCCCATCCCCCTGTCCTGTAGGCAGGAGAGATTTGTGCTGACAAATAGGAAACAGGCCCTTGGATGGATGAACAGGCCAAAGCAAGCAAGAAATGGCACTTGTGCCTTCTTGTTCCCAGCCCAGGGTTTCTCCAGCAGGGTCTCTGGGGAATTAAAAAAAAAAAAGAGAGAGAGATGCACAGATCTCAACCCTAATATTCTCATCCAGTTGTCTGGAGTGAGGTCCCACCAACAGTAATTTTTTAAATTCCCCAGAAGATTCTAACATGTAGCCAAAGTTAAGAATCCCTATCTCAGAGTACATGTATTTGGAAGAAGTTCCCTTGGGTTCACGATTTATTGCTTCACTGAATAACATGGACAGGATGACCTAGACGCCTGATGTGGGAGAGAGGCAGACGGGAGCAGAAGCCTGTTTACCTGTTTGGGGAACACCAGAACCGGCTGCCCCTGGTTGATCTCCACTCGGCATTGCACGGTGGAAACTTCTGCTTCTCTTTCAGTTCCTGTTTACTGGCCTCCAAGCCTTTGGTGATCATGGCCTCTACGTGGGTCAGTTCTGGGGTAGGCAGCCCATCCTCTCCGTAGAACCTTCCTATCACCCTTCCTGTGGTGACAGGAAAGCTGATGTCAGAGGAACAGTGGGAGAAGAGAGGCTTAGCTTCTGACACGGTTGTAGTAAAGCTCAGGTTCCCAGGGTTTCTGACTTCAGGGCTCTACAGTAGCCTGCTGGGTGCCCGCTTATCAAGAACTCATACTGGGGGGACTTGTGGTACCTTCTATCCCAATGTCTCTCAACATCTTACAAGACTTCAGATAGAAGCACCCCTCTCTGGTTGTGGAGTCCTCCAGTACGGAAGTTATAAAATCTTTCTCACTTGGAGACATCAGTTCCCTGAGAGGGGAACCATGTGCAATTCATTTATTGATGTTCCACCGTGCTTGGGGCACACAGTGGGCACTCAGTAAGTGTTTGACGAATGAATGGCTTATTGGGTAACATTTTTGTGGCTCAATTCCTCCCAACATGAATTATTTTGTCTTATATTAACTATAAATATGTCACTTATTGAGCATTTACTCAGTGTCAGGTGCTAGCACTTTACCAATATTTCGTTAATCCTCATACCCAACCCTATGAGAGAGAAATCAGTGCTCCCATATTCATAGGAGAGAGCCTGGAGATTGAATAACTGGGGGTAGTCTGTGGAACTAGTAAGTGGGTCTGGCCCCAAGCTCATGCTCTCCTCCACCATTCTCTTCTGGCTCAGTCCTTCAGTGGACATACTGAGTGGAAACTGGTTTTAGTTTAGAATCCCCGCCAGAATGTTTAAAGGTCTAAGGTGTGGCAGCAGCCAGCAAGTGGTCAATGAGCCTACAAGCCAGAGCCAAAAAGGGATCAGTCTTCCTTAGGTGCAGGGACTTTCATCTCCAAGTACGGAGTGCAAGTGGCCTTCACAGGCAGCACCTGTCAGAGGGCAAGAGAAGCAGCAGAAACACCTCTAGGTTTGATCAAGTGGGTGAAGGCAGCAGCGCATACCTGCCCCAGCTGTGTCTGTCCACCTACTTAGTCCCCGAGAACTGACTAACTCATGTTCCAGTGGCACTTCCGTTCAGTGCGTCTCAGATTCAGTCCATCCTCTCACAGCCAATTCCCTATCCTGACTTTTCCAGTTCTCTTTATGTCACTTGGGCCTGTGTCATCTGGATCAGGAGCCTGGCTCTCGCAGACTCCTTCACATCCACCTGTACACTTCCCTGTGTTCACGGCTAATCCATTAGCAAATCTTGTCAGTCCAACCTTTAAGAAACACCGTGACTCTGTCCATTCCTTTCCATTTCCACTTCTCCCACCCTACCCCAAACCATGGATTACAACAGTAGCCTCTCAACTGGTCTCTCTACCTCAGCTCATGCCTTCCTACACTTCTGTCTCCACAAAGAAGCTGGGGGCATCTTTTAAAAAGCTGAATCATATCACGTCACCTCCATCCCTGGTTTGAACCCTCAATGGCTTCCTAAAGCGTGTGGATAAAATACACACTTCTTATCAAGGCCTCCAAGACTCTACAACCATCTGACTTCTGTTTGCTTCTTAGGCTTCTTCTCAAGCCATCCCCTCCCTCATTAGGCTCCAGCACTTCGGCATCCTTTCTATTCCTTGACCAAGCTTAGCTGCTCCCCACGCCAGCACTACTGTCCCCTCAGCCTGAAAAACTCATTTCCTAGAACTCAGTATGGCTGGCTCCTCCTCACCTTCCAGGTCTCAGCTTACCTGTCCTCTCCGCCAAGAGGCCTCCCCTGACCATCTGCTCTAAAGGTGCCACACACCCCTGATTCATAGCCCTATCTGGAATTGTCTGGTTTCTTTACTTGTTTATGATGTATCTCTCCCCACCAGCGAGGCCCCAGCACTCAAAACAGCTTAGTATAGAGCATTCATTTTACATGCTCATTAGAACGAATGAAGGGATCAGGGCCCTCATCTCAGGCCTACAGTCTGTGAGTTGGCCTGGCACAAAACTGACTCCTATAGAGGGTCTCTGTGTGCATGGTGACAAGCCTGTCTTGGTGGGTTTTAGATGTCAGACTCAAAGAGAGGGCAGTAGTAGAGGCAACAGAGAAAGAGTTGCAGAAGCTATGTCATGAGAATGGTGGTCACTGTTGGCTGGGTCTCCAAGCCAATGCTATATCCAGAACACAAGAAAAGACATCTCTTTTTCCCTTGAGGCCTGGCCACGTGGCTGCCAAGATGGCTTCCTGGTTGTTTTCACGTCAGGGTGCACCCATGTAATAAACCTTAATCCTGTGACATGTCCTGAGAGTTTCTGGTGCCCAGAAAGAAACTAACACAGCCCCCCTCCTATAGAATGAGCTAACAGAGGGCAGGAACTGCACTCAACTCACCCCTGGTTCCTTTGAAGCCAGACCATAGCTTACCTATAGTACATACAGTAGTTCCCCTTCATCTGTGGTTTTGCTTTCTGTAGTTTCAGTTACCTGCGGTCAACCACAGTCTGAAAATATTAAATGGAAAATTCCAGAAATAAACCATTCATAAGTTTTATGAATGCTGTTCTGAGTAGTGTGATGAAATCTCACGCCATCCCAATCCGTCCCACCCCTGATGTGAATCATCCTTTTGTCCAGTGTATCCATGCTGTACACGCTACCCGCCTGTTAGTCACTTAGTAGCCATCAGTTATCAGATCCACTGTTGAGGTATCGCAGTGCTTATGTTCAAGTCACCCATATTTTACTTAATAATGGCCCCAAAGCACAAGAGCAGTGAGGCTAGCAATTCAGATATGCCAAAGAGAAGACGTAAAATGCTTCCTTTAAATGAAAAGGTGAAACTTCTTGACTTAATAAGGAAAGAAAAAAATCATATGCTGAGGTTGCTAAGATCTACAGTAGGAACAAATCTTCTCTCCATGAAATAGTGAAGAAGGAAAAAGAAATTCATGCTAGTTTTGCTGTCGCACCTCAAATACATATGTATAGGAAAAAACATAGTGTATATATAGGGTTCAGTACTATCCGCGATTTCAGGAATCCATTGGGGGTCTTGGAACGTGTCCCCTGCGGATAAGCTGGAGACTACCGTATTCAACTATATCCTGACTTTAACTAAAATCCCTCTGAAGCATTTCTGACCATATGCCCCTCGCCCCCCACCACACACACACCCATTAACACTGTTCAAACAAGACGAGCTCACTTATCTCAGCAAACACACAAGTTTGCTCCCCAAATATCAGTGTGACATGTTTGGTCTGGCATCCTCTGCCCACTCACAGGACTCATTCTTATTCTTTAGTGTTGAGTTTTCTTTCCCTTAGTAACTCAGTAATGTTTCAACCTTGGTTTGGCAACCTCAAGGGAAAAAGGGAGAACCAAGCCTTCTGAAGGGCAGATGGATACAGGTCAGTTCCTTCAATGGCAGACATGGTGTTGGTCTCACGAATGACGTGGGGCAGACTGGGTGAAAACAAAGAAGGGCGTGCTGTAGGCTGGTATGACAAGGACCAACAATGGTGGTGGTGGGGATTGGAAACAGAAAGAATTTTAGATATTATGAAAAAAGCCTTGGCCAGTTGGATGTGGAGGGAGCAGAGGAGTTAGTAAAAATGTCCAGTTCTCAGAAAAGGTAACACAAGTAGTAATGACAGAAGCAGACATTCAGAGGCATTAGGGGCAGAGAAAGAGCTCTTCCAATTTAGACTTGTTCAAATGGTGAAGTGACACTGATGTTCCTTAGGAAGTTAGCCGTGTCCAAGTGGGGCTCCAGTGAGAGGTCAGGGCTGCAGCATATGGAAAAAAGGGCCCCGACCATCCCAGAGGGGTGTTTAGTGTCTAACATTTCTTTAGGACACCGTGCGGTGTCTTCCCATTTAAAAGGGGAGTCTCCTCACATACCACCAGTAAGTAGTAAGTGCAGTGCCCTACACAACTGGCTTTAACAAATATTTGATTAGCATAACTTCACCCAGGAGACAATTCATTCAGGCTAATTCAGGACACAGGCTAATGTTTTTCTCCTTAGAGGACAAAATAAAAGGGTATTTGTCAAAACAGCACACAAACTTAGGCTTCAAGCCTTCCTGACTGTGCTGAAGCCAGATGCCTGGAACACAGCGAGACAGGAAAGCTGTCCTCCTGGAGCTGGTCATTCAAGGGTGGCACAGGCAACCATTGGTTTTGGGGTAACAGAGGCCCAAGCAAATGGCCAGGCGATTCTATCCCAAGATTAAGAGTGAGGAAAACCAGTGCCCCAGCCATTTCCTTCTGGGACTCACTGCCACACTAACAACCAGAGGTTTGTATTTTTTTTTTTTTTTTGGTGAGGAAGATTAGCCCTGAGCTAACATCTGTTGCCAATCCTCCTTTTTTTGCTGAGGAAGATTGGCCCTGGGCTAACATCCACGCCCATCTTCCTCTGCTTTATATGTGGGACGCTGCCACAGCATGGCTTGACAAGCGGTGCATAGGTCTGCACCCAGGATCCGAACCTCCAAACCCCGGGCCACCGAAGCAGAGTGTGTGAACTTAACCACCACGCCACTGGGCTGGCCCCACAACCAGAGTTTAAGGTGAAAAATGAATGGGTATTTTTCAGATTTTAACCTTGAGTCCAATCCGCAAAGAATTCTAGCCCCTTAAAAAATTGCAAGACAACTAAATGAAATCTGTGGAAATGACCTGTGGAATACCTACCAACAAATTCATAATTCTTCTCATAGAATGAAAGCCAATTCTGAAGTGTCAGCATCTCAGAAAATGACAAGTCAGATACATCATCCACAAGGCCTGCTTCAGAGTAGTCGCCGGTCACAAACGCTCTGGATGCGTCTCGGCCTGCAGGAGAGAGGTTTTCAGTAGATTAACTTGTAAATCACTGACACTGTACCAACTCAAGAATCTGTTTTCTGAAAAACATCTCCTGAAAACCCCCACTCCCCACTCCCAAACACAGCTAATCCCCCCTCCTCTGTGACAGACACTCTGGATCTTGGACACACATTTTGGCATCTATCACATTCTTTCATTTACTTTCAGCAACGTTTCCCACAGCTGACCACATCCCTTGGCTCCCATGACACTCCACTCCTGATTTTCCTCCTACCTCTCTAGCTCATTTTCTACCAGCCTCAGGGATCAGTTCTTTTCCACCTTCTCTACTCCATCCACACGCTCCACTTGACAATCTCATCCAGTCCCATGGTTTCAAATACCACCTCTATGCCAAAGGTGCCAGTTTGTATCTTTAGCTTAGACTTCTCTTGAGCTCCAGACCTGTATATCCAATTGTCTACTCAACATCACTTAGATGTTTTACAGATATCACAAGTTCAAAATGTCCACACTGAACTAATGGTCATCAGCACCTCCAGCCCCAGGAAACCTGCATCTATTCTAGTATTGCCTATCTCAGTAAATATCAACCAGTTGTTCAATCCAGAAATGCAGTCCTTGACATCTCTTTCATCCCTCACATCCAATCAGTCCCCAAGTCCTATAATTTCTTCCTACATAGTTTTTGTATCAGTCTACGTTTCTCCATCTACCACTAAGCAAGCCCAGGCTGCCATCATCTCTCATCTGAACTACTACAGTAAACCCCTAGTAGGTCTCCCTACATTCATTCCTTCCTCACTAATCTATTTTCCATAAACACTTAGACTGATATTTTTTTTTTTTTTTAAAGATTTTATTTATTTATTTTTCCCCCAAAGCCCCAGTAGATAGTTGTATGTCGTAGTTGCACATCCATTCTAGTTGCTGTATATGGGACGCGGCCTCAGCATGGCCGGAGAAGCGGTGCGTCGGTGCTCGCCCGGGATCCGAACCCAGGCCGCCAGCAGCGGAGCGCGAGCACTTAACCGCTAAGCCACGGGGCCGGCCCTAGACTGATATTTTAAACACAAATTGATCATGTCATTCTCTTGCTTAAAAATCATCAGTGGCTTCCTTTTGCTCTATGATAACGTCCAAATTCCTTACCATGCCATTCAGGGCCTGCACCAGCTGCCACCAACCTCACCTTGCCAGTATGCTCCCTTCCTCTCTCCTCTCCTCCCCTCCCCCACTAGGTTAAGACCTCTGGTAACACCAGTATGTTTTGCTTTTGTCATTCGTTACAAAAATAACTCATTGTTTATGTGATAACTATTTAATGTCTATCTTTCCTATTAGTCTGCAAGTGTTATCAGGGAAGAGAACACACCAAACTCCTTTACTATTGATTCTGCAGTGTCTGGTAGTGCCTGATCTTTAGTAAATTCTTGATAATATTGACTGAATGAAACCCATACGTTTACAGCCAACTGATTTTCAATAAGGGTGCCAAGACAATTCAATGAGGGAAAGAATAATCTTTTCAACAAATGGTGCTTGGACAACTGAATAGCCACATGCAAAAGAATGAAATTGGATCCCTACCTCACACCATAGATAAAATTAACTCAAAATAGATCAATGACCTGAATGTATGAGCTAAAACTGTAAAACTCTTAGAAAACATAGGTGTAAATCTTTGTGACCTTTGATTAGGCAATGGTTTCTTAGATAGAACACCAAAAGCACAAGCAACCAAAAAAATAAAATAAATTGGACTTGATCAAAATTTTGTGCATTAAAGGACACTATCAAGAAAATGAAAAGACAACCTATAGAATGGGAGAAAATATTTGCAAATCATATATCTGATAAGAGTCTAGTATCCAGAATACATAAAGAACTCTCACAACTCAACAATAAATAGAAAAACAACCCAATTGAAAAATGGACAAAGGATCTGAAAACACATTTCTCCAAGGAGGATGTACAAATGGTCAACAAGCACATGAAAAGATGTTCAACATCATTAGTTGTTAGGGAAATGCAAATAATCAAAACCACAATGAGATACCACTTCAAACCCACTAAAAAGGCTATAACCAAAAAGACAAAAATAAAAGACAACAGGAGTTTGGTGAAGATGTGGAGAAGTTGGAACTCTAATACATGGATGGCAGGAATGTACAATGGTGCAGCTACTTTAGAAAATAATTTGGCAATTTCTCAAAAAGTTAAACGTAGAGTTACCACATGACCCAGCAATTCCACTCTTAAGCATATACTCAAGAGAACTGAAAACATAATATGTCCATACAAAAACTTGTACACAAATGTTCACAGCAGCATTATTCTTAATAGGCAAAAAGTAGAAACATCCAAATGTCCAACAAATGATGAACAGATAAAAAAATGTGGTATATCTATACAATGAAATATTATTTGGCCTTAAAAAGGAATGGTGTACATGCTGATACACCATGGATGAACCTTGAAAACATTATGCTAAGTGAAAGAAACCAGACAGAAAAGACTGCATATATGATTCCGTTTCTATGAAATGCCCAGAATAGGCAAATCTTTAAAGACAGAAAGTAGATAGTGGTTGCCAGGGGCTAAGGACGTAGGGAATGGGGAGTGACTGCTAATGGATATGGGGTTTCTTTTTGGGGTGATAAAAATGTTCTGGAATTAGATAGTGGTGATGTTTGCACAACTTTCTGACTCTATTAAAAACCACTGAATTTACATTTTATTTATTTATTTATAATTTTATTTATTTTTTTCCCCAAAGCCCCAGTAGATAGTTGTATGTCATAGCTGCACTTCCTTCTAGTTGCTGTATGTGGGACGCGGCCTCAGCATGGCTGGAGAAGCGGTGCGTTGGTGCGCGCCCGGGATCCGAACCCGGGCTGCCAGCAGCGGAGCGCGCGTACTTAACCACTAAGCCACGGGGCTGGCCCTGTACACTTTAAAAGGGTGGATTTTATATTATGTGAATTATATCTTAATAAAAAATAATAAAAATATTGACTGAATGAACAAATGAATAAATGAACATCTCTGCTTCCCTACTAGACTGTGTGGGTGGTGGGGAACATGTTATAGTCTCTGAATCCTCAGCACCTAGCACAAGGCAGTCTACATGGGAGCGGTCAATAAATGGATGTTGAATGAATATTGGGCACGAACAACTCAGTAGGCAGTAAAGCACATTGCGAAAGAAAAATCACGTCAGAAATGGAGGGTTTTCTGCTCACACTTGTGCATACAGCCCTGACAGAGTGCCCTCACCTGGCAGGTAAACAAAACCCTTGATTTCAGTCCCAGCTCTGTTTCTAACTCACTGTGTAGCCCTGCGTAAGACGTCCCTTCCCCGCTGGACTCGTAGAAGAGCGTGGCAACACCAACTAAACTTAATACCTTCTCTGTCAATGCTTCTGTTTCTGAAGTTCTCCCTAGAGACAGGGAAGTGACTTGTATTTAAGTACCAGAGGCAGCTTTCTGATTCCCCTAAGATAATGACAAGTGGAAAATGCTTATTTAATATCAGCCTCGTCACTGGCGTTAAACTTGCTTGCATTTGTTTTTTCTTTTTTAATCTGGGCGTTGGTGATTCCTCTGGGCTGGTAAGGCACTCTCTCTCAAATAGGCTGGTGGTCCTGGTGCAGGTCCCATCAGTGCTTAGCTGTCAGGGGTTTAGGCAAATCACATCCATCAGTCCCCTCAGCTGTAAAACAGGGACAGCAGAGCAAACTTCACTTAAACGTTCTTTGAGGCCTAACATACACACAGCTCTGTTCTAAGTACTGAAGGACTGTAAAGGTGAACAGACTCCTTCCCTGCGCTCTAACCTCATAATCTTTTTTAGGAAAGACACACAAATGCATCTGTACTAGAAGCCAGAACGACTATTTCCAGGGAAACCTGGAGTTGGGGGGTGTTTGGGGGGGGGAGAGGTTACTTCAGATGGGGACATACTGAAGAGATGATTGGAATCAGTAGGGGAACTCTGAGGGCAGGAACAGGATCTCATTCATCTCTGTGCCCTGAGACCCATGCAGTCTGGCACAAGCAGGTATCGGGGGCGTCTACTGGTGGGTGATGGGTAACTATCAAGAGAGGCAGGAGACGTGTTTCTGGAACCTAAGTCACGAAAAGCGGTGGGGAACGACAGGGAGGGTAGAGGCCGGTAACAGATGGCCATACTCTGCCAGAGTCAAACCGACCAGAAGGATGGTGCAGCTGAGCCCAGTCCCCACACTACTCGGATGAATGTGGGGAGGAAAAAAGCAGATGAATGAATGAATGAATGAACGAACGAACGAACGACGCGCAGGCGGCTACAGGCCCGCGTCGGAGCCGGAAAAGGCGTGGGCCGTCTCGCTAATACCTGCGAAGCCGCTATAGTGGGCCCCAGGCTCGTAGTGCCTCCGGCCAGAGGACACATCGTAGACGCGGCCGAGCAACGCCAAGTACAGGCCCGGGTCCCCAGGGCCGCCGCGGTAGCGGGCCAGCTCCTCGGAGATGAAAAGGCGAAGGCCAGCGCGGGGACTCCACCAGCCCATGAGCCGTGCTGCCATGACCGCCGCCGCCGCTGCGGCCAGGCCCAGCAAGAGCCCACGTCCGCCGAGCCTCAGCATCGATCCGGTCGCACCCCTCTGCTCTTCCGAAGTTGCCGCCTCTCTGTCCACAACCAAGATGGCGGAAACACCACCGCGACGTCACCGGCGCGACACTCTATGGCTGCCTGTGATTAAGGGGACAACAGAGGATTGACAGAAAAAAGTCTTTGGCGAAAAGTTCACTCCCTGGCTCCGACTCGTTCTCACGCTTTTTCAGCATAGCTATTGAACGTGGAGGGATACCGAGAAACTGAACAGCGAAAGGCCTTCTTGGATTGCACGTTGTCCGCCCCCAACAAAGATGGTGGCAAAGGAGGCTCCGGGATGACGTAGACGTCATGACAGACGCACTCTCTTGGAAATCAGGCCTCCACCATTTACTGAGGGTGTCCTCCGCTGGCTGTCTCACGACAGCTGGTAGAGGCCGCTTGACGGCGCCTTTGCGACAACAGTCCTCACTTGACGGCGAGGAAGCCGGAAGCCACAGCCGCCGCCGGCGTCCCCTCCCTGTCCCCGCCCGCCGGGTGCCGTCGGAGGTTGACAGGTCGAGGCGGGGAGGCGGCGGCGGCTGCAGAGCCGGGCGCCCGAGACAGAGACCCCATGGGGAACGCTTCGAGTCACAGCAGTGAAGACGAAGCGGCAGCTGCCGGGGGCGAGGGCTGGGGCCCGCACCAGGACTGGGTCGCGGATTCGGGCACGATCCCCGGCCCGGGCGCCGCGGCCCCGGCGCTGCCGCCTGCCGCGGCGCTGCTGGAGCCAGCCCGGCTGCGAGAGGCGGCGGCTGCGCTGCGGCCCGCTCCGCCCTTCGAGTCTCTGGTGTCTAGGCATCACGGCGCGCTGTTGCGCTGGCTGGAAGAGCGGCTGGGCCGCGGCGAAGAGTCCGTCACCCTGGAGCAGTTCCGGGAGCTGCTGGAGGCTCGCGGCGCCGGCTGCTCGGGCGAGCAGTTCGAGGAGGTCAGAGTTGGCTGGCGACGGCGGGGGCAGGGCGGTCAAGGGCGTGAAGAGGTGGGCGGTGTCTTTGGAGAGGCCACGCAGGAACCCATAGGGTCCACAGGTTCCAAGAATGGGAGCGTGGGGGTGCAGGGACCTACTTGGGGCGCTTCCAGCGTGTTCACTCCGGCAGGCGGTTACGAATCGCTTGAATCTTTATTAGAGGTGTGGAAAGCCTAGACTAGGCCGTCCTTACTCTGAAGAACTAGACAAGCCTAGATGTCTTTGCATGTTGTAGTACAGACATTTGGTAGTTGCCTGACTCTGTATCATTTGCTCTCTGGAGTTTCCTTATCAGGCTCCAGAGCAGTTTAAGGGAAAAGAGGTGTAGGGATCAAGGGAGTGGCAGTGAAAACCATTCTGTTTTACTGGCAAGTGGGTTTTTGCAGAGCACCTTCTGAATCCAGTGTGGGCGCGTAACAGATGTGGGAGGAGAATAACATATTCTGGAAAAACTCACATTCTAAAAGCCATTCTCATCCTGCAAAAACTAGCTTTTCCAAAATACACATTTGTTTTTAGATCCTTGAAGAACCATATTTTAGACTTATTTAAAAAATACCTCCATAGAACCTAAAACTGATAGGCAAATACCAGGTTTCCTGTAAATGCTTGTAATTATACAGTTTTTGGCATAATCACCGTCATCTCTATTAAATCATTAACAGCAAATTGATATGGTAACAAAATGTTCTCCTTGGAAGGGATCTAAGGAATTATCTGTACTGAACATTTTAGAGTTAAGAAGAGAACTGATCCAGGGTCACCCGGTGAATCATTGGCAAAACTGAGACTATCACTCAGATCTCTTGATATTTGTTTGTTTGTCTTATGTCCCACTACCTCCTTTTGGGACCCTATTTCTTTAACTGCACAATGTTATAAGAAACAGGTGCTTAATTTGTGAAAATGAGTAAGCCATGTAGAATCTTTAGTGTCAACGAAGGGTGAGTACATCAAGCAGTAAAGTGACAGTACTTATAATGCCATTAAAGAGTCATGTACATTCTAAAACCAGAGGCTTCTAAAATATTTTAAGAATGTTTTTCTGTACATGGCCAGGATTCAAATAATGTGGTTCTTACATTTTCCTTTAAAAAAAATACCTGTAAGGCATCCCAACTCTTGAAAACGTTGGTCATATTAGTTAGTGATGGGTCTCCGTTTTTTTTTTTTTTTTAATTTTAAGAGTACACATAATACATTCCACTCTAGTCCTAGGAGTATTATGAGAAGATGAAGCAGTGCCAAAAAGAGCTATGCAGATCTGTTGAAGGAGTTGACACATTTTGGAATTGTCCAAAAGAGAATGGAGAGAAATAGTGTTTCCATTGTGAGAGTGTCTGACAGGAATAGAGCTACAGGTAGAGTTTAAAGGAGTACTATAATGTAAGATCAAGAAGTGCTTGAGGTGTGGGCCAGAAATCACTCAAGGACTGTGACATTATTCATTCATTCATTGAGCAAATATTTTTTGGGTGTATACTGAGTGCCAAGCACTTGGATGACAGTAAACGAAGCAGATACTTGCTCTTACAGAGTATGTGGTGCTGAAAGAGACTCACATTAACCCAGCAATTATAGGTGTGATGAGTATTATCCAAGGGAAAGCCTAAGGAAAAACATAGCAAGAGTATTTAACCTCCTCTAGGGAGTCAAGGAAGACTTACCTGAGAAAGTAACATTTGGATTTGAAGGGTGAAAGCAGACAAAGAGCAGAAGGTGTCAGTGTTTCAGGCAGAGGGAATCGCATGCGCAAGTCCAAAGTGCAGAGAATGGAGAATCTGGAAGGATGATATGATGTATTACGGTTAGACAAAACTGCTTCAAGGGGCAGAAAATCCAGCACCTCAGTGTTTTAAACAATAAAGCTTCTTTTGTAACAGTCCAGGTAGGCAGTCCAGGCTTGATATGGCAGTTTCACAGTCGTCAGAAACCTGGCTCTATCCGTCTTGTGCTGTCATCCTCCACGGGCGCCTTCCACTTGCTGATCCAAATGCCTCCTTCAGCTGTCACTTCCCACAGTGCAACCAGCAGGAAAGGGAAAAGGGAAGGAGAGGGCCACGCCTCCTCTCTTAGGAGCATGGCTCACATCCCATTGGCCCAAACCCAGTCACATGGCCACACTTAGCTGCAAGGGAGACTAGGAACGATCCTTATTTCATGGCCATATATTCAGCTAAAAATCAGGATGTAATTACTGAGGAAGAGGAGGATAGGAGATTGGGTTACAGTGATCAGTCTTTGACTCACATGGCTAGATCATAGAATGCAGGAGGAAGAGAACAAGGCTAGAGAAGTAGGCAGGGACCAGATCATGGGAGTCCTTCACAGCCTCTGTTAAATAGGAGTTTGGAAACTGGAGTTTTAAGCAAAGTGCCACGATCGCTGTGAGAACCAGTTGGAGAAGGGCCACAGTGGGCCCAAGCATATCAGTTAGGAGGCTAATAATAGCAGTTAAGTTAAGAGCCTGGGTGGCTTGGACTAGGGTGGTGGCAGCTAAAATGATATGAAGTGGACAATTTTGACAGCTATTTAGGAAGTATGAGAATAAACAGTTTTTGAGACTTAGGTGTGGGAAGAGGATTAGAAGGAGAAAAGAATCAAGGATGACTCCAACATTACTGACTTGAGCAGTTGGAAAGATGATAATGCTGTTTATTGAGAAAGGAAACATTTTCGGGAAGAGAAGATCTAGACAGGGAGGATGAGTTTGATTTGGCCATGTTGAGTTTAATGTATCCATGAGACAGCTAAGTGGAGACATCTCCTAGATGGTTGGGTATATGAATCTGGAGCTTAGGAGAGAACACTGCATAAGGTATAGAGTTACCTGTTTGCACATTGGGGTTTCATGAGAAAATAGCCGTATTGTTTCCTCTTATTCTGATGAGGTTTTTTTTTTTCTTTCAGTGACCAAGAAAGAAAAGATTGTGCTTTGTAAGAACTTAAGTCCTTTAGAGCTAGTCCATGGACTGTTTAGCATAGTTAATTCCAGAGGTCATTCAGCCACTGTTAACTAAAGAAATATATGGGAAGAAAAAGCTGTGAAGGGTTGTACCTTCCTATTATGAAACACAAAATCGTGGTAGTCACATATGTGGCAAAAATAAACATTAAGGAGTCATAAGCACTGCAGTAAGAACTGGTGATTTGTAAAACGTTGTGAGTTCTTATTTTATTTTTATAAAAATCCCTGGGACGATCTAGAGCTGTGTCACAGGGTATTAAGTATCCATACACAGAACTCACAAAAGGTATGCTTGAAAGTCTTATTTCACATCTGTATAATTATCTTACCTCACTCTATATGTTCAAATACATGGTGTCTGGTAACTTAGGCCAACCATGCGGGGCAGGTGGGTGACCACAGCCAACAAACCAAGGAGGAAACCGAGGACTCTGCAGGGTTCAGGGACTCCCTTAAGTAAGATTGGAAGTTAAGTTTTGGCACTAATGCTCGAATGTGGATCTACTGACTCCAGATCCCACACCCTTTTTCCTTTAAGGAACTGATTCTCTTTGATTATTATTCTTTAGTCTCATCAATATGTAATTAATTCTTTAATTTTTCCCTTCATGCCAAGGGAGGCCTGGCATGGGTAATCCAAATTGGAGAAAAAGCGTCATGTATTTTTCTTGAAGCCTTTTTACCTTTATTAGATTTGGGGCTTGTGTTGATACTAAAATTTGGTGACGCCCCCGCTGATTAGCATTGGTTAGTTAAAGAGAGCAATTCTGTCTCAAAGTGAAGGCTTACCCAAGGTTTAAAAACCTGATTGGGATAATCTCCCGGTGGTTGTCCTGTCTATAAGTAAGGGGTAATTATATTAGTAATATCCAAGAAAATAAGTATGAGCCATGCATTTGATTCTGTGCTTTACAAATAAATCTGTTCTTTGACTTAAATAGGTATACATTTCTGTGTCTTAGTTAATTCTACATCTAAGCTTCTGAAAATGCATTGTGATATTTTAATACAAGTTTAAGGGTTTTTGTGAAATAGTAACAAAATGTCTTTATAGTAGCAACTAAAATGGTAAGTTAGTTCCCTTCATCCATTTTATGAGAGCTAGCAAGTTATCATTGGCGTACGTTATTTATTATTATAATGCTAAGAGTTTCCAAGTTCCATGTATGTTCTTTGGGCTCTGAATTTGCCTTGCTATCCATGTCTACCCAGCTGTCTTGCCTTCACATTCCTGTGAACTTAGTTGCTTGAGGTGGTGTCCTAAAGAAGTTCTTGGAGTTGTACCATGGGCCAAAGTCTGAAACCTTATCATTTTATAGTACAACACACCTTTTCTCATGGTGGGTGTGGTCCATGGAGGACTCTGGTTTGCTCATAGGGAGCAATATTGAATTGACTCCTGTGTAGAAGAGGAAGAGAGTTAAAATTAAATTCTTATTTGACATCAGAGATTGGAGATTAGGTATTTGTGCTGTTAATGTAGTGTGCTTCCAGAAAATCATGTAAACTCTAGGGCAGAAATAAGTGCTGAACGTAGGATGATAGCAGATGGCTTTAAGGTGGGGATTCAATATGAATAGCTCTTATTTTATTAATTTGACGTATTAGCTTTGGTGCCTACTTTGTGAAATTCATTGGGTTGTCAGCTCTGAGGAAGAACCTTTTTTATTCATTTATTTGTTGTCTTAGTATAGTCCGGGCTTGCGGCCAGTGCTCAGGAAGTGTTTCCCCCATAGTGTGCTCAGTTTGATTTAACAGAGTAAACATGGTGCCATCCTCAGTCTCCAACCTTGTATTTTATATTCAATCTATAACCTTTTTTTTTATATAATTTTATTT